GGAAATTCTAAGGCCAGGCTGAAGACAGAAGCCACGAACTCCATCCCGGTCTCGCACAGGGGTGGCAAGCAGCCAGGTACCTCAGCTTTCCACTGCTGCCTGCCAGGTGCATTAGTGGGAAGCTGGATGGGAAGTGGAGCAGCTGGGACTCCAAGGGGACACTCCTGTATTGCAAGAGGCAACTTAGGTTGTCACAGTGTCACCATGTGTCATTATTCTGGTGTGCTGTAACATCTTCCACATTTCTGTAAAGGCGTCTAATCAGCATACCACACAACACAGTCATTTAAAGCGCACCATCTTCTTTTTGGTCAGAAACATTGGCTGGCAGCCCTGCTTGCTTGGTCCAGGCCGCATGTGCCACACTTTCCCCGGAAAGCCATCATTTCTCCCCTCTGTAGTGTCTCGGGAAGAAACTTTGCAGCCCTGTAAGTAAACAAGCAAAATCTCTTTTTCCTATTTTCGCCCCCTATTCCTAGCACCCATGACTTTCTGCCACAGCAGGTATTAGCAAAGAAGGCTGCCCAATTGGGAAACCAAGTTCGTTTTTCAGGTAGCTTCCCTCTGTAATTAAGGGCGGCAGGGCTTATTTAAGCTGCTCCTTTCCCCTTTAAATTAAAAAAAAAAAAAAATTGTTTTCTGCATTCTTTCTTGCAGGGATTCTGGACATATTCTGAGCTAATGGAAAAGTGCCAGAAATATGGACATAAGGCTATGAACTTGTTTCTGAGGCTTGTTTCATTAAATTTTCTTTTATTACAAATACAGAAATGAGGAGAGACAGAGAGGAACCCCTTCCGATGATTTACTCCTCAAGTGGCCATGACTGGCCAGAGCTGAGCTGATCTGATCTGAAGCCAGTTTGGAGCCTCTTCGGGGTCTCTCATCTGGGTGCAGGGTCCCAAGGCTTTTGGCTGTCCTTGGCTGCTTTCACAGGCCACGATCAGGAAGCTAGATGGGAAGTGGGCCTGCTGTGATTAGAACTGGTGCTCATATGGGATCCTGGTGCATGCAAAGCGAGAACTTTAACCACTAGTCTACTGTGCCAGGCCTGGCTTGTTTCATTAAAAAAAAAAAATGCATATTTTTAAAATTTGAAGGCCAGGAGTTACAGAGGAAGGATGTACCCTCCCCCAAAGGGTGCAAATGGTCCAGGCTCAGCCAGGACAAAGCCTGGAGATTGTTCCAGGTCTCCCACATGGATGCAAGGGTCTAAGCACCAGAGCCCATGCCCTGTGGGCTTTCTCAAGCCATAAGCAGACAGTTAGATGGGAAGTGGAACAGCCGGGACACGAACCGGCGCCACTATGGGAGGTCGGCACCTCAATCAGAGGCCTAGCGTACTAAGACAAGGCACTGACGCCTTACTAGGTTTTTTTAATGGCGTGGCCACATATGCGCGGCCCCCTAGGTGTCCTTCACGCCAGAGGAGACTCCTCAGTCGCTGCGCCCGCCGCACCCGCCGTACTTAGCAGTAGCTTGGCTCTGCTTGAGGGCAACCGTTCGCGGGGCCTCCGCGTCGGCCTCAGCCTCAGCGCCAGGTCCCGCCCCCGCGCGTCCCGCGCCGCCGATTGGCGGACCCGCGCGGCTCCGCTCCGAGTGCGGGGCGGCGGCGCACAGGGATTGGCCGCGCGCCTCCAAGGCCCGCCCTCCGCTCGCCCGGCGCGTCTGGAGGCTCCCGCCGATCGGGGAGAGCCTGGGCGGCCTTTTTCTCTTAGATGGCGGCGGTGGCCGTGCGGTGAGGGTCTCGCCGCTGTGGCCGGGCGGCGGGCGAGCCTCGATCACCGCAGGTAGGTGCGGGGCGCGAGGGGCGCCCCGCGGGCGGGGAGGGGGCCGGCGCGGCGGCCTGTGTCAGGGCGCGCCCTTCGCTCCGTCCCTGCCGGCCGAGGCCGAGGCCCGGGGCCGGGGCCGGGGCCCGGGCTTGCGGGCGGGGCGCGGGGTGGAGACGCGGGCCGGGCCGGGCCACGCGGAGCCCCGGCCTTTGTGAGGCAACATGGCCGCAAGCAGCGCAGGGCCCTCCGGGGGCCGGGCCTCCGGCTTGGGAGAGCCCCTTGCTCGCTGGGCCCAAAGGCGGGAAAGGTGTGGACAGGGCCCGCGCTTGTCCTGGAGCCTGCCTTGCTTTGTTTTGATACAGTTTGGAAATCCGGTTAATCGTGGGAGATTTTTTATGTTTTCCATCGGTTCGAATGCTCGTGTATTCTGAGTTGTCCCGTCGGCATTGGGGATTGTGGTTTTAGCGTTAACGGGGAGCGTGGTAGAGATGGATGAAACGCGGCAACCTGTTGATGGGCTGGCCCTGTCCCGGGTCACCCGGGGTGGCTCCTGGTAGGAGAGCCCGATTTGCCATGTTTGCATGCATGCATGCACGGACCTTATTTCCTGGCTGCCCGGCAGCCAGCGCCCACCCCTCTTGGAAAGAAGCCGAGCCCTCTCTCCCCTCTTTTAGACTCCATGTCGGCTCTCAGGACCGCAGGCCGAGAGCGACAAAGGTGGAGGATGAGGTCATAACTGCGGCTGGGAGATGACCCCGAGGCAGCTAGCTGCGGCCATGGGCCCTGGCACGTGAGCTTTGTTGGCAGCCCAGCCAGCGGTGGTTTGAGCCAGGGGCCAGGGGAGCTTAGGGTGCATCCTCCACCTCGCCGAAGGGCCTGCGAGCCCCCTTTTTGCTTGAGCCTGACGTGGCGGGGCACTGCGGGGAGTGCTTTCCCTTCTTAGTCTGTGGCAAGGCGACCTTGGATTTGGGAATGTGAGCTCCCCTGTTGCGTGGTCTCTTCCGGCCTCCTGGCTTTAGCCACAGCTTTCCTGGGTGTCTGTTCCCTTCTTTGGCCTGGCTCCCGGTTGAGCTGCAGCCTCTTGTGACTTGGAAAGTTGAGCTGCCCTGTCCGCCATGGCCTCTCCCACACCTAGATGTGTTTCTGCTCCCTGTTCCTCGCGCCTTCACTTGTCCCTTCCTGTAGCGTTAGGCCCCTAGTCTTCTCGCCTCCCGCCTTCAGCCCTACCCTCTCCCTTGGTTGTTGCTGAGTGTTTTTTTCACTACGCAAAGTGACGCTTTATGCCATGTGAATGTACCAGGGTACTTCGTGAGGGGGTTGTAGACAATGGAATCAAAAGATGAGTCTCTTAATCCCTTCCCCAGATTTTGCAATGTCTGCATATGTAGGAGCTTAAAAACAAACAAACAAAAAAAATTGGTGGAAAGTGAGAAACTGTGAATGGACTGCAAAAGTCTCTATTTTGAAATTTTTTAAAAAAAGATGCATTGGAGAAGGGAGAGAAACCCCACCTGTTTGGTTTACTCCCCAGCTGTGTATCTGTGATGGCTGCGTATCTGGCCCGGCTGCAGCTGGGAGCACATGCCGGCCCTCCCCCATCAGTGTAGAAACCCAGCCACATGGACTCCCATTGCTGCCTTCCGGGATCCATGTAATTGGGAAACTGGGACCAGGAGCTGGAGATGGGCAGCAGCCCAGCTACTTTGCTTTGGGACATGTTTGTCCAACCGCTAGGCCAGATACTGCTTTAAAAATTTACTTGAGAGGGAGGGAGACAGAGCTTGTCCCTGCTGGTTCTCTGCAGCACCTCAGGCTGGGGCCAGGAGATGGGTATTTGGTCTGAGTGTCAGAAACCCTGCTACTGTTGTTTCCCAGTTGGTGCATCTGCAGGAACCAGGAACCCCCAAACCCTAATCCCTTGTCAGGGTTGGGGACTGGGAAGGTCCTTAGCCACTGCTCCTGCCCCAGACTTAACCTCTGCTTTTCTGCAAACTTTGTGACGTCCCTTTGTGAACATCTGTGGCTGGACAGACCTAAAGGCCAGCCAGCCTGGGGTGGTGAGGCAGCTCGGCCCCTTCCTAGTTAGCTGTGTGGCCTTTTGTGTGAGAGCTGCTAGGAGTTCAGATATGGGGGCCGTGGGATGCTGTCCTTTGTTCTCTGGCCTGTCTCTCAGGTGGAGACTCCCAAGCCATGCTCACCAGTGCCGGGCCACAGCATGCTGCTGTCCCAGGGCCTTAACTTGTCCTCTTGTTGTCCCTTGGAATGTCTCCTGTCCCTGCAGTACTGCTGCCCCAGCTCCCAGTCCCCCACCTGTGGGGGGCGGCCTCTGGGCCCCCTTTGAGAGCCACCTCCCCTTCCTCAGCCCTTCTCTGCCGTGCTTCACCATGCCTACGCTGCCCTTGCATTCCTCCTGCTTCCTTGGGAGCTGGGTGGGGCAGGGGTGTTAGCTGTCTCACAGCCCCAGGCAGCACACCCTGCTGCCCCCTGGAGCCATCTTTGTTGCCCTTGTTGCTTCATGCTTCTGCACTGGCTGCTTCTCTGGTTTATCTCCAGTCCCTCCACCTCCTTTGTCACTTTTTTTTTTCTATTCCCAAATCACTGAGGGGCTTACCAAGGTCTCAGGGGGTTTGGGTTGCCTTTGTCATTGGTGTATGGGGGTGTGGGGGTGCTGAGCTGCCTATCTTTGGAAGTGACCCCTCTCATTTGCAGAAGACTGGCTTGGCTCTGCCCTGTGGCCCTCGGGGCTAGCCTGGCTGAGCCTCCTCCGCCCCTGCTGCTCTGTCTTCCCTCCATCCCGGGCACCTGTGATTGCCACCCCTTGGCGGGGGGTGGGGGGGAAGTAGAGTGACAGTGTGGCACAGCGCCCTTCCAGCTGTGTCCTGGCCAGTGGGGGAGGGGAGTGGCCCTGCCTCACTGCGAGGGCGCAGTTAGTGGATGGTGGTTGAGTGAATTAAGTAAACCAAAGCGGGGATCTGCCTCTCGTGTTGTGTGCCCTCCAAGTGCAAGCGCCGCGGCCGTCCCCTCACCGTAAACTCATTCAGCGAGCGACGGCTGCTGCCTCCTGTTCTTCCCGGGGTTTTGCGGGGTGTGCGTTGGTCCGCGCCGCCGCTGCTACCGCCGCTGAGGAAGCTGTCCCACGTGGGTGTGGCGTGCACGTGCATCTACACCGGTGCTCATGGCATGTGCATGTGTGTGTTGGTGAGCATGCGTGTGTGGGCGTGCGCCTGCATGTGCTCCTGGTCTGACGACCACCCTCCTTCCTGCCCCACCTCCACCTTGTCCCACCCCCTTTTTTTATGCGTCCTCTCTAGTGAAGTTTCTTAAGGGGGGTGGTCCTTCCCCCTCCGTTCTGGCTGGGTGTTGGAATGTCCGTGTCCCTCCCAGCAGGAGTTTGGTGGCCTCCAGCTCCTTCTTTGCACTGCTGTTGGGTCCCATGATGCCATTCTTTGCACCTGCAGGGCTCCCTCTCATGCTGTGATCCCCATGCCTGACCTGGTACCACCAGCAGGCTGCTGTTTCAAGTGGGACCCTCTGTGCCTTGGTTCCGTCTAAACATCCCCCCCACCCCACTCCCTGCCCCCTACCCCTGCAGGCTCCCTTCCCCCACAGCCACCTGCCCCTCTCCTCTCCTGGGAACAGAACTGTGCCTCCACCTCTGGCGACCTCGGCCGTTGCATCACTGCCCCGTCCACGTGCCGCGCTGGGGTCCCGGGGTGGCCGTGCCTGGCCATGCTCTGAGACCCCCTAGTGCCTGAGGGTCTCGCGCGTGTCCTCTGACCCAGCCCTCGCAGGTGAGTGGATTGATGACCCTGATGGCCAGAGGGAGCCCCTACATGACAGCTGTTCCCGAAAGAAAGGGCGGCCCCTCCACCCCATGCGGGCTCAGGTCGCACGCTGAGTCAGGGGGTGCTGCCCCGAAGGTCAGCATAAATTATTATTTTTTTAATCTCTGTTCAGCTTTAGAATTATGCTCTTTTTGCTTGTTTGAACTAAGAATGTGGGGAATTAATATATTTAGCTTCAGGTGCAAATTACAATTTAGCCTCTGAAGAAGGCAAGAGAAGTTAGCATGTTCCTATGCCTGCGAGTTTCTACCAGGGAGAGCTATTTTAAGCTCCTCATACAGTGAGCAGCGCCTGGTGCTTCACTTGGTGTCAGGGAGGCGCAAGGCGCCTGTCATTTCGTGACGGTATTTTTAAATTTCTTTGCAGGTGGAAGAAGAGAGGTGCCACTTTGGCATGAAGACCGAGTCGCTTAGTCGTCAGTCATTTAAGCTGAGTGCATTGTGATTTCCAATAATTGAGGCAGTGGTTCTAAAAGCTGTCTACATTAATGAAAAGAGCAATGTGGCCAGCTTGACTAAACCGCCAGCGTGCGCAACGCGGCCAGGACGGCCCCGGGTGTCGACGGACTCGTGCATGTTAGCTGTAGGAGATATATGTGAGGTGTTTTAGAACTCTGGTCTCTTAAAGTAGTCTTAAGCGCTTTTACTATGGAGACGTGTGAGAGCGCCTCTCCGCTCGCGCGTGAGGCCGCAGGAGAAGCGGTGACGGAGAACCGAGCTTGCCCCTTCCTGGCGCCGCCCCGTGAACAGTCTCCACCACCTCCCCTGCAAACGTCCAGTGATGCAGAGGTAATGGACGTTGGCTCTGGTGGTGATGGACAGTCCGAACCCCCTGCTGAGGACCCATTCAACTTCCACGGAGCGTCACTTCTCTGCAAAGGATCCTTCTCTAAGGGCCGCCTCCTCATAGACCCGCACTGCAGTGGCCGCAGCCCGCGCACCGCCCGGCACGCACCTGCGGGCCGCAAGTTCTCCCCTGACCTTAAGTTGCTTAAGGATGTAAAGATTAGCGTGAGCTTTACCGAGAGCTGCAGGAGTCAGGACAGGAAGGTGCTGTACACGGGAGTGGAGCGCGACGCTCGGGCCGAGTGCGGCCCACTCCTTAGTCCCGTCCGTGGACACGTGCATGCTTGTGCCTTTGGCGGGGGCGTCGGGAACGGGGTAGGCCTGGGGGGTGAGAGCGCGGATAAGAAGGATGAGGAGAGTGAGCTGGAGCAGGAAAAGAGAGTGGAGTACGCAGTGCTCGATGAGTTAGAAGATTTTACTGACAATTTGGAGCTAGATGAAGAAGGAGCAGGCGGGTTCACGGCCAAAGCGATCGTTCAGAGAGACAGAGCCGACGAAGAGGCCTTGAACTTCTCCTACGAGGTATGTTGGTGGCCCCTCCCTCAGAGGGCTCTGAGGCAAAACCTCAGAAGGAAGGGGGGGGCGGATGGCAGCATTGGGGAATATGGGGAAGTTGAAAACCCAGCAGAGCTCCCCAAGGGAGCCCTGGCTGTGAAGAGCCTGGGGTGCCCCTGCCCAACCTGAGCGTGGCTGGTCTGTGCTGCTGGCACCCCTGATGCTCCCCACTACCAGCACCTTGGCGGGGTGGGCTGGCCTGCTGGTCTGCTACTGTTTGTTATCAGATGGTCATGTGTCCTAAGAGCACAGCTGGGGCCCCCCTTGTTGTGGGGGTCTCCCCTTTTCTGACTATGGTTTCCCTGATGCTGCCAAGCTTGCCGTGGTGCCGGAGCGTGAGTACTGGGTCAGTGGGGTCTGAACGCTGTGTTTTGTAGGATGACTTTGACAACGATGTGGATGCCCTACTGGAGGAAGGCCTCAGTGCTCCCAAGAAGAGGCGGCTGGACGAGAAGTACGCAGGGGACAGTGACCATGCGTCCGATGGCGAGACAAGCGTGCAGCCGATGATGACCAAGATAAAGACAGTGCTCAAAAGTAAGTGGGTCAGGAAGTCATGCCAGTGCGCAGGACCATGGGAGGGCAGCCTCTCCTCAGCCAGAGTGGACAGCTGTCACGGTAGAGGCATAGGTGTGTGTGTGCTGAGGGGAGAGCAGCAGGGCACGGGGCGTGCAGCTCAGGGGCTGACCTGGAGAGGGTGTGCACAGCATGGAGCAGAGGGCACTGTGCAGGGGTGTTGGGGAGGGACTGTCAGGAATGGACCCTGAGGGGAGGATGCTGGTGTGTGCCAGGAGAGAGCCTGAGCAGCAGTCGGGATGTGAGGGACTGAGACCAGAGAGGGGAGCTTGGCGGCCGTGGTCCCAGTGCTGCCTCTGCCTGGTATTACAGTAAGCCACTAGATGCAAAGCAAACCTGGCCCTTATTTTAATTTCGGAAAGCAGTGTTCCTGGAGCCTCAGTGTGGTGAGTATGCTTTAGGTGGCTCCGGATGGAAGCTGGCTCTATGGGCAGGAACAGGTATGGTAGGTTTAGGCCCCGTGGGGAGAGCAATCGGGACAGCATTGTGGTCGGAGCATTGTGGTGGCACGGGTGGGCTCAGTAGAGGGCTGAGGAGATACATGGGTCCCAGGCACAAAGATGGGAGCTCCAAGGCTGAGGGTGAGCTGCGGAAGTAAGGCAGCAGGACGAGTGGGGAGGAAAGGATGGGGTTGGTGATACCCAAGTGCTGCCCTCCAGCCTCAAGGGCACAGGTCAGCAGAGGGTTACAGGGTTGGGCAGTGGCTGATGCCTGGGTCTGTGGCAGCACCTCAGGGCCTCTTCCTGCAGTTTGGACAGTCTCACTCTTAGCAGGTCAGCCATGTCAGTGCAGCGTACCTGGCTGGCCCCAGCCACAGCAGAGCCTCGTCCTGCAGCACAGGCAAGCCAGGTGAACCAGTGGCCACCCCCTTCACTGAGGAGCAGCCCGTGCCTGCCGTGGTCCCATGTTGTGTGGCACTGTGTTCTATTAGCTTTTCTTTTTTTTTTTTTTTTTTTTTGTCTTTAAAAAATAAAAAGCAAAAGAGTCATTTACTTTATTCCAAAGGTAAAACAGCAGATTGAGAGGGAGAGACAGACCTTGCATCTCTGGTTCCTCTGCAAATGGCCACAGTAGCCCAGGCTCAGCCAGGCCGAAGCCAGCAGCCAGGAGTTCCCACCAGGCCTTCCACACGGTGGCAGGTGCTTGGGCACTAGGGCCATCAACTGCTGCTTTCCCAGGAGCCTTTGCAGGAAGCTGGATTGAAAGTGATGTAGCTGGGACTTAAACGGGCACTCCAGTGTGGGACGCTGGCACTGCATACAGCAGCTTCGTACGCTGCACGACTTCAGCCCCTCTGTTAGCTTTCTCTCCTGACAGCGCAGAGTGGCATAGGCCATAGAGAGAGGGCCCCGTGTGTGTGTGCACGCCTAGCCTGCCCTGCTTCCTCCAGGAGTGCCGGCTGATGATGGCTGTGTGCAGGCGTGCAGAGGTGGGGGACTGCTGGGTGAGGAACCAGCTCTGAATGCCTGACACCTTTTTCATCTTTTATGGGCTCCCCCCCCCCTTTGTTACTTAATTATTCCCAATACCTATGAGAAGAATTTTAGCTAAATCTTATTTCAATCAGGTCTTTGAATGGCAGGTGTCAACTCAGTAATGATTAAATACCTTTTCCTCTCGACCCCCTGTAGCAAAACAAGGAACAGTGGAAACAGTGCCTTACAGCTGACCTACATCTGTTAGCTTGGTGCGTGTGCTGGGGAGAACCTGCGGCTCCATTACGAACATGCTTGAGGGCCCAGCACGATAGCCTAGTGGCTAAGTCCTCGCCTTGCCAGGATCCCATATGGTCTCTGGTTTGTATCCTGGCTGCTCCACTTCCCATCCAGCTCCCTACTCGTGGCCTGGGAAAGCAGTTGAGGACGGCCCAAAGCCTTGGGACCCTGTTCCCACGTGGGAGACCTGGAGGAAGCCTCTGGCTCCTGGCTTTGGACTGGCATAGCTCTCTGGCCGTTGTGGCCAGTTGGGGAGTGGAGGATCTTTCTGTCTGTCTTGCCTTCTCTCTGTAGATCTGACTTTCCAGTAAATAAAAATAAATCTTTTTTAAAAAATAAGATAAGCAATACAGGCTGAGGCAGTGGCCAGCAGACATGCGCTGTGTTCCAAGAGCTCATCCGGCCCGCGGGGCCCCTGATCCTGACTGTGGTGCTTGGCAGATGTGGGGGCAGGCGGGAGCTGAGGCTGTGACTGCTTTATTCAGGCATTCCCACCTCACACCACGTGCTGTCCCGGGCCTGCAGTACACGCAGTGGGGAGCAAAGTGGGCAGGGATGTAGATTCTGGGGAGACCCAGGAAAATAAGCATATAGACGCAGAGCAGAGCCATGCATGGAGGCAATGTGGGAGTCAATGTTGAGTGTTTTTGTTTTAAGATTCGTTTTAAAAGTTTACTGAGGGTCCAGGACAATGACTCAGTGGCTAAATTCTCACCTTACACGTGCTGGGATCCCATATGGTTGCCAGTTTGTGTTCTGGATGTTCCACTTCCCATCCAGCTTCCTGCTTGTGGCCTGGGAAAGCAGTGGAGGTCGGCCCAAAGCCTTGGGACCCTGCACCCGCGTGGGAGACCAGGAAGAGCTCCTGGCTCCTGACTTCGGATTGGCTCAGCTCCGGCCATTGCAGTCACTTGGGGAGTGAAGCATCAGAAGGAAGATCTTTTTCTCTGTCTCTCCTCCTCTCTGTATATCTGCCTTTCCAATAAAAAAGTAAATCTTTAAAAAAAAAAAAAAGAAAGAAAGATCTCCCATCTCTTGGTTCAGTTCCTAAATGGCCGTGACAAAGCCAGGAATCCAGAACTGCATTTGTCTCCTCCATGGGTGGCAGGGTCTGAGCACTAGGACCAGGCCATCTTCTCCTGAGAACACACAAGAGCTGGTCTTGTGTCCCCTAGGCACTCTGATAGGGGGCAGGGACTCCCTAAGCCATGTTTGACCTGCTGCCCCGTGTGTGTGTGTGAGTGTGTGTGTGTGTGTGTGTGTGCAAGCTGATCGTGGGATGTCCTCACCTTTCCCGCAGGTCGTGGCCGCCCACCCACAGAGCCGCTCCCTGATGGCTGGATCATGACATTCCACAACTCCGGCGTGCCCGTGTACCTGCACCGCGAGTCCCGGGTGGTCACCTGGTCCAGGCCGTACTTCTTGGGAACGGGAAGCATACGGGTAGGGGAGACATGAATCATGCATTTAGGCTTGTAAGTTCTCAGACTGAGACCTAGGCGCCTATCCCGAGTGCACACAGAGGCCAGTGGAAGGCACCGCAGTGCCAGGCCCATGGGGTCGGCTTCTGTCATTCATGGCGCCATATCACTGTCCACAGAAACACGACCCTCCTCTGAGTAGCATCCCTTGCCTTCACTACAAGAAGATGAAGGACAACGAGGAGCAAGAGCAGAGCCAGGAGCGCAGCCCCAGTGGGGAGGTGTCCCCCACCAAACCCCTGAGCCGATCCGCAGAGCTTGAGTTTGCACCGGAAGAGCCCGACTCGGGGCCCCAGGATGAAAAAGATGGCCTGGGGGCCGAGGCAGCGCCCGGGGCGCTCGGGCAGGTGAAGGCCAAGGTGGAAGTGTGCAAGGATGAGTCGGTGGGTGAGTTCCTGAGAGCCTGCCCATCTCCTTTTCTCCTGTGGTCCTGGGGTGTCTCTGTGGGTCCCAGGCCCGCCCGGATGTGCTGCCCTGCGCATGATGCTGGCAGTGGCCCTAGTGCTCTTGGGCTGTTTGAGAGCTGGTGCCGGGTGCTGTGTCCTGCTTGTCCCGATGGGCTCTGAGAGGCTCGCTACTGACGAAATGCACCTCTCCTTAGACAGTTCCCATCTCAGCCCTGCAGCTGGCTCTCTGAAGGCGCAGTGGTCTCTCATTCTCCCTACCTGCTCTGTCAGCTCAGTACTGTCTGTCCAAATCTGGGTTCCACCTCAGGGCTGGGGGTTTGACTCCCCTTCTCGGGGCGTCTGTTTGGTTCTGGTCTCTGACAGAGTTGTGTGTGGTGGGAACAGGGATGTGCCAAGGCCCTGGGGCAGGGAGCTCCAGGAGGTAGGGGTGTGTGTGTGTTCTTGTTCTTGCTCCAAGTGAAGCAAAAAGGCACCAAAAATGCTTCTGTTAGAAGAGCTTGAACTGAGAGAGTAAACATTTCTGGGCCGCAGGACCCCCCCCCCCCGCCCCCAAAGCATTGAGCTCCCTGGCCAATCCCAACAGATCTGGAGGAATTTCGGAACTACCTGGAGAAGCGTTTTGACTTTGAGCAAGTCACTGTGAAAAAGTTCCGGACCTGGGCCGAGCGGCGGCAGTTCAACCGTGAGATGAAGCGGAAGCAGGCGGAGTCCGAGCGTCCCATCCTGCCGGCCAATCAGAAGCTCATCACTTTGTCAGTGCAGGACGCACCCACCAAGAAAGGTGAGTCCACTCTCCCCCAACACGCAGCTTTTGTTGTTGTTGTTTTTAAGATTTGTTGGGCCCGGCGGCGTGGTCTAGCGGCTAAAGTCCTCGCCTTGAACTTCCGGGATCCCATATGGGCGCCGGTTCTAGTCCCAGCGGCCCCCGCTTCCCATCCAGCTCCCTGCTTGTGGCCTGGGAGGGCAGTCGAGGACAGCCCAAAGCTTTGGGACCCTGCACCCGCGTGGGAGACCCGGAAGAAGTTCCTGGTTCCCGGCTTTGGATCGGCATAGCATCAGCCGTTGCGCTCACTTGGGGAGTGAATCATCGGACGGAAGATCTTCCTCTCTGTCTCTCCTCCTCTTGGTATATCTGACTTTCCAATAAATAAATAAATCTTTAAAAAAAAAAGATTTGTTTATTTTTATTGGAAAGTCAGAAATACAGAGAAGAGGAGAGACAGAAAAAGATCCTCCGTCCACTGTTTCATTCCCCAAGTGGCTGCAATGGCCAGAGCTGACCATGTCAGGAGCCAGCAGCCAGGAGCTTCCTCTGGGTCTCCCATGTTGATGCAGGGTCCTAAGGCTTTGGGCTGTCCTCTACTGCCTTTCCAGGCCACAGGCAGGGAGTTGGATGGGAAGTGGAGCCGCCAGGATTAAAACTGGCACCTATATGGGATCCCAGTGCATGCAAGGCGAGGACTTTAGCTGCCAGGCTACTACACCAGGCCCCACACAACTTTTTTTAAAATGTGTTTTATTTATTTGAAATATTTATATAGAGAGATCTTTATCTGCTGGTTCACTCCTAAAACAGCCACTGTGGCTGGGGCTGGAGCAGGCTGAAGCCAGGAGACAAGAGCTTCCAGCTGGGGACAAAGGCCCAATCCCTTGGGCCAGCCTCCAGTGCTTTGCCAAGCATGTTAGAAGAGAGCTGGCCACACTGGGGACCCCTAGGATGATGTCCCTGGGTACTGGTGCCGTCTGGCAGCTGGTAGCAGCCCTCTTGTCTTCTCCCTCCCTCCAGATACAGAAAGAAAAGAAATACAGAAACAATGGTCTTATCCACTTTTCCTCCATTCCTAGACCCTTCCCACCCTAGTCAGTCATGCACAGGGACATCCATCCCTCTTTAACCAAGTAAGCATCATCAAAAACAGAAAAGGGAGCTGGACTTTTTTGTTTTGTTTTTATTTTTAAAATTTTTAATATTTACGTGGTTGAGCGGGATACATGCCCATGTGGACCTCTGACTACAGTGGGAAGGGATGAGGTATGGAGAAAGGTGGGACAAACGTTTCCATTTTTTTTCTTTGTGTCCCCAGGGGGCAGAAAGGGGAGGAAGCAGTAAGGGGAGGGGGCGTTCCCTGCTGTTTGACTACATCAGCAAGCGGGGGGGGGGGGGGGGAATTGTAAGTGGAGCAGCCAGGACTCCAACAAGCACCCATATGGGATGCTGGCACTGCAGGAGGCAGCCTGAGTTGCAGTGCTGCAGAGGTGGTCCCTTGTGAGTCCCTCGGACAGCTCGTGTCAGCAGCCTGCTTCTGCTGTTAGTGTTATTTTCTTTATCCCAGAGTCAGTGCTCTCATCTCCTGGTTCACTCCAACATGGCTACGACAGCTGGTACGGCGTGCCTAAGCCGGGAGCCAGGAACTTTGTCCAGGTCTCTTACACGGGCAGTAGGGACCCGTGTACTTTAGTTATCATCACTTCCTCCCAGATCTTGCGTGAGCAGCCAGCGCTGGGAAAGGAACCCAGGTGCCCCAGTGTGGGGAGTGGTACCCTCACTGCTCAGCCCTTGCCCGCCCCCTCTTTGCGCGGGATGGGAGGGTGTATTTGGTGAATGAACTCGTGTTTCACCGCAGCTCCTACAGCCCCTAGCCCCTCCATCACCAGGTGGGCACTTGCTGGCCCATCACAGCCCCCTCCATTGCTGTGGGGGGGCGGGGTCTTTGTTGTCACAGAGTTTGTCATCAACCCCAATGGGAAGTCGGAAGTGTGCATCCTGCACGAGTATATGCAGCGTGTACTCAAGGTCCGCCCGGTGTACAATTTCTTTGAATGTGGTAAGTGTGACCCTCCCTGCTGTAGCCCTGAAGAGCTCCCTAGGGTGCTGGCATCTGGGGGGAGGGTGAGGGGAGGCAGAAGCTTACTAGGAGCCCCCCTCCCAAACCTTTAACCCCCTAGCTGGAGGTGCAAACAAAGGCTCGAGGCAAGCATGTTGCTGACAGCTGCACCCGAGGGGAGGTGAGCGCCTCAGCTTTCCTGCCCTGGTCTTGTTGCCTCCTGCTGGCTAATGACTCCAGGTGGCTAGGAGTGGTCCTGAGAGGAAGGTCGCCCCACTGTGTTCTCACAGTCATGCTCGGGGAGGAACTGCCTCGGCCTGCTCTTGCTTGTAGGGCCTGGTCTTCTGTGAGGGGTCTCAGGCTCGTTGCAGGCAACTCCGTGTGTCCCAGGTCCCTAGTTTGTCCCAGCATCCCCCTCTGTGCCCTGAACACCTCTCCCTGCCTCAGGACCCTGCAAGTGTGCATACACTTGCTGCCCCCGGGGCGGCTGCCGGGTGACCAGAGTGTGTGAGTGTGTGTGCGGGTTCACGACTGTGCCTTGGCAAGCATGTTTTAAACAAGTCATTTTGCTTTTAAGAGAACCCAAGTGAGCCTTTTGGTGCCTCAGTGACCATTGATGGTGTGACTTACGGTTCTGGAACTGCAAGCAGCAAGAAACTTGCAAAGAATAAAGCTGGTAAAGCGCCTGCCCAGAGGACAAGAGCCCTGTCCCTTGGTTTGGGGGAGCCAAGCTGCAGCCCCAGCTGCCTGGGGCAGGGTGGGGTGGGGATGCCCCACATCTGTCTTGATGTCTTTACCTACTTTGACTTTTCAAATTACATTGTCACTGGCAAAGACTCCAGTGGAGTGACATGCACGCTGAGTGACATGCACGCTGGGTGACAGTGAGACCAGTGTCTCATGTGTGTCCTTGCACATGTTGGAGCCGGCAGGTGCAGCTGCACCTGACCCGTGTGTGGGCTCATGCCTTCCCAAGTGGTTGACCCCTCTGCACGTGGCCCTCCCCGCACTCGTGGTGCTCCACGCAGCCAGCCGATGTGTTCTGGTCCACGCCCTCGGCTTCTGCTTCCCAGCCCAGCCCTGTGAGCAGCCAGTCTCCTCTCTCTAGAACCTTGTGTCCTCTGAGGGTGGAGCACACTGTTGTGCTGCTCTGAGAGTCCCCCAGGCCCCTGCACCCTCAGCTCCATCCTTGGGGTTTTCTCCTCTTGGTATGTTATCTTCCAGAACTGTCTGCCCTGCTTGGTCTTGCTGGGTCCTAGGGCAGGCAGGGGGTTTTCTGTTCCTGGGAAACCGTTGCTGTCTGAATGATGCATGCTGAGGACTATCAGAGACCTGTCCGTGTCATGCTCACCCCCATCCTTCCTTCTGCACGGCTGGTCTGGGCTCGTAGACCTGCTGCAGGCACCAGGAAGAGCCCCGTCTCTGTTTTGGGGGAGATTCTGCCTAGAAGACTTGAGCTCAGCCCATTGACTGCCAGTGGGGCTTAGTGTGGGGTGGTGACATCTTCAGCATGGCTGTGCCATGGCTCCCCTCTGCGGGGTCGCTTCCCTCCCCGTTGCCATCTTGGTGTGCGGGAATCTGCCTCCTCTTCAGGGGTAGCCTGAGCTGTGAGCCCCTCGTCACCGGGTCAGTGACAGCCTGTGTGCTCAGGTGCTGTCTGCCTGCTGGGCCCCGCAGATGCTGGCCCCCCCACCCCTGGGTCTGGAGCCTTGCAGTAGTAGCCTGCTGTCTGCTGCACTCCTGGAACCAAGTCCTACTGTGCTGTTGCCCCATACATCACCAAAGACCTTCCTATAGGACAGACCCAAGCCTGTTGCAAGGGCCAGTGGGGTGCAGGGGGCTTCCTGCAGCTTGCCCACCCGCCTTCTTCCGAGAGCTGCTGCTGAGCCGTGGGGTGGAAGGCGACGCCTGTGCCCTCACCCTCAGGCTACTTTTTTCTCCACAGCCCGAGCCACACTGGAAATCCTCATCCCTGACTTCGTTAAACAGACCTCCGAGGAGAAGCCCAAAGACAGTGAGGAGCTGGAGGTGAGTGGGGGGCTGTGACCACCCACAGGCTGTGCTGGCACCTGCTGCTGGGCACTCTGCTGGGCGATTCAGCCCTGTGTTGTGCCACACCTAGGTTGGTGGGAACGCGCCTTGGGGTAGAGTGAACAGCAGGTGTGTCTGAGTGCCGCTGGAGAATGCCAGGACGTGGACCCATGGTATTGAGGTTTGTTGGTCCACCAAGGTGTCCAACCTTTTGAGATTATACACACTGGATTTTTATATATTCACAGTGGTCAAGCCATGGCTGCTCGTTCCTTTGAGGAAATTTTTGTCACCCCCAGAAAAGCCCCACACCCCCATGCCTGAGAGCAGCCACTTCCCGTTGCAGTTGGTGCTGGCCACTACTGCGCTGCTCTCTGTCTGACCCTGTGTGCTCAATGATGCTGGATGCTGCGCAAGTGGAATCAGCTACCACATGGTACCTCGTGGCGACCTCCTTCACGGAGCGGCAGCTTCTCATCAGACAGACCAAGTTTTCTTTTATTCTTGCTTTGCTAAGAGGTTTTATTAAGACTTAAGATTTAACTGCTTCCGTCTCTGTTGTGGTGATCCCGTGGCTTTTTGTTTGTCCGTGTGGGTATTTTAATGTCAAACCATCTTTGCTTTCCTGGGATGAATCCTGACACTGGATGTGTATATGTTGCTGGGTTTGGTTTCTTAAGGAGCTTTGCATCGATCCAAGAGTTACGAGGGATGTTGGTCTGCAGTTCTGTTTTCTTCTGATGTCTTTGTCTAGTGTTGCTTTAGGGATATGCTTGCACTGGCTTCATCAATGCACAGTGTATGGAGTAGGTTACAAAGGAGCGGCTTTTTATTCTGAGGATGATTTTGTTTGAAAGGGAGACCTCCCTTCTACTGATGTTTGCAAATGCTCACACCAGCCAGGGCTGGGCAGACTGAAGCTAGGAACTGGGTCTAGATCTCCCAGGTGTATGACACAGACCCAGCTCCTTGAGTGCCACCTGCTGCTCTGACAGGAAGTTAAGTCGGGGGTGGAGCCTGGGCATGCAGTGTGGGACACAGCTGTCCTGAGCAGTGTGCTGCTCTGACCACCAGGGCAGACGTCCATCTCTGCTGGTCGTGAGTTAAATTTCTGGCCCAGGCTTTTCTTCATCTTTTTTTTTTTTTGCCTTTCAGAGCATATTATTGTTGTTGTTTGAGACTTGTGATATTTCCTTATGAACAAAAGAACCTCAAACAGAAAAGTGTTTGAAAACTAGGACCTCAGATTTAACCGGATACCAAACAGGGCTTTGGAAAAGAAATGCACTTGCCAAAAGTCATAGGTCCAAAGGTTAAATTTGATAATGTGGCATTCAATGCCTACTTGCATTACTGTTTCTTACTTGACTTTTTTTTTAAGATTTATTTATTTTTATTGGAAAGTCAGATATATAGAGAGAAGGAGAGACAGAGAGATCTTCTATCTGCTGGTTTACTCCCCAAATGGCCTCAGTGGCTGGAGCTGAGCCAGTCAGGAGCCAGGAGCTTCTTCTGGGTCTCCCACGCAGGTGCAAGGTCCCAAGGCTTTGGGCCGTCCTCCACTGCTTTCCCAGGCCACAAGCAGGGAGCTGGATGGGAAGTGATGCAGCCGGGATTAGACCCGGCGACCATAGGGGATCCCAGCGTGTGCAAGGCGAGGACTTTAGCCACTAGGCTACTACGCCAGGCCTGGTCCAGATTTCTTGACACCAGAGACCATCGGTGAGGGTCCCTTCCAGGACCCTGGCCTCAGGCTCATGGCCCAGTGTGATTGCAGCCACCTAGAATATGTCAAGTACTTGGCCTGCCAGAGGCCATTAGGGCTCCTTCGCCCCCCGCCCCCTCCGCCCAAGGACTGTGGCTTCAAACCCCTGTCCAAGCTGAGTGGTGCCCTGCCAGTGCAGCACACCTGAGGCCCTGGCATCAGGCCCCTGGGCTGCCAATCCCAGGTCCACGTGTTGGTACACTGCAGTACAGCTGGCCGAACACCTGAGGGGAACCCCAACTGCCTGCGCCCCAACCAACGTGGTGGTTCTCCGGGGTGCAAACCTAGGCTTCTGTTTAAAGTCATTTAGTTATGGAGTCTTACTTGTTATAGTCTATTTTTTTTTTCTCTTTAATGTGTGTTTATTTTCATGTACTTGAAAGGCAGAGCAGGAGAGGGACTGGAGGTCTCAGTCTTCCATCTGCTGGTTCACTCCTGAAATACGAGAAGCTGAAAACAGGAACCCACAGCTCTGCATCTCCCTCATCTCCCGCGTGGAAGGGAGTGCAGGCAGTCGCCCACGCTGGCCACGGGCAGGGAGCTGGTGCAGAAGCAGAGCAGCCATCCTGGAGCTGGCGCTGCCGTGTGGGTGCTGGCTTAGCTCGCTGCCCCCACAACACTAGCTGCTGCTTGCCTCAGCCTGCCCAAGTTTTCCATTCAATCTAAGATGTTTCATTCATAGTACTGCCTTGTGATCTTTTTTTGTTTCTGTAAGAAGTTGTAGTTCTTGCTTGTATTATTGATTTTAGCCATGTGAGTCTTTTTTCTTGTTCAGTCTAGCTAAAATGTTATCAGTGTTGATTTTTTTCAAAGAGCCAATTTTTCATTTTATTGTGTTTTTTTCAATATTCCAATTATTTCTACTTTACAAAAATTTTTTTTTTAACATTTAACTTATTTTACTTGAAAATCAAAGTTATAAGGGACAGTGGAAGAGAGCCATCTTTCATCTGCTGGCTCACTGTCCAAATAGGCACGTAGTCGGAGATTGGCCAGTCCAAAGCAGGGAGCCAGGATTTTTATTGTTTTTTTTTTGTTTGTTTGTTTTTTGGAAAGGCAGATATTCAGAGAGGAGAGACAGATCTTCCATCTACTGGTTTACTCCCTAAGTGACTGCAACAGCCAGAACTGAGCTGATCCAAAGCCAGAAGCTTCTTATAGGTCTCCCACATGATGCAGGGTGCCAACACTTTCGGCCGTCCTCGACTGCTTTCCCAGGCCACAAGCAGGGAGCTGGATGGGAAGTGGGGCAGCTGAGACACAAACTGGTACCCATATGGGATCCAGGTGAATGTAAGGTGAGGATTTAGCCACTAGGCTACTGCCCTGGGCCCCAATTCCCTTGTGACTGACATGTGATGTGTGATTTCTTGCTTGTCTTAAGACATTGGTTGTTGTGGTCTGCACAGTGTTCCCCGCTGGACACAGTGCATAGCTGCCCTGATTGGGGAATGTTGCTTTACACTGTTCTTCCTTCTCTTTCCTTATTGATCGTCTGCATATTTTTTTAAAAATTTGTTTTTTAATTTGTATTGGAAAGTCAGATATACAGAGAGGAGGAGAGACAGAGAGGAAGATCTTCTGTCTGATGATTCACTCCCCAGGTGACCACGATGGTCAGAACTGCACCGATTCAAAACCATGAACCAGGAGCTTCTTTTGGGTCTCCCACGCGGTTGCAGGGTCCCAATATTTATTGGAAAGGCAGATCAGATAAACAGAGAGAAGGAGAGCAGAGGAAAAGATCTTCCGCCCACTGATTCACTCCCCCAGTGGCTGCAATAGCCAGAGTTGCTCAGGCCTGAAACCAGGAGCCAGGAGCTGCTTCCTGGTCTCCCTTATGGCTGCAGGGGCCCAAGGCTTTGGATCAACTTCTTCTGCTCTCCCAGGCTACAAGCAGGTTGTTGGATGGGAAGTGGAGCAGCTGGGATTAGAACCGGCTCCCATTTGGGATTCTGGTGTGTTAAAGGTGAGCAGGACTTTAGCCACTGGGCCACCGTGCCGGGCCCTACCTGCCTAGTTTTTTTAGGAAGTCTCACTGTGCAGTTTCTTGCTATTGTTGAGTCTATTTCTTTCTCTAATTAATTCTGATAGTTATTGCTTCCTGTATTTTGGGGCTCTTGCTAGGAGTATATTTGTTTGTGATACTTATGTTGCCTTGATGGATAGATCTTGTTATAAAATATCCTTTGTTGTCCTTTTTTGACTGAGAGCTTAGCATAATCTGGCTACTGTTTGGACAGTGCTTCTAGCCATTCTTCTTTTCCTCTCAACCTGTGTCTCTTGTAGACAATGTGTAATTAATTGGCTTTCTTAAAATCTTTCCGTCAGAGTGTTTAGTTGGGTGGCCAGTGTGGCCCCCAGTGAGGTGCAATTCCTGCGTGATGTTGGGCATGTTTTCCTTGTCTTAGGCTTTGTTTTTGTTGTTCCTTAGTCCCTCCTTCCCATCCATTATGTCTTTTGTGGTAAGTTGATTCTTTCTGATGTATCATCTTTAACTCCCTTGCTTTGTAACTGTATTTTTTGGGTAGGTATTATCTTAGTAGTTGCCCTGGGAATTTGAGTAACATAATGTCAGCTGCCTGCAGAAACTCTGCTGCTCGGTAGTTGTCCATCCCTTTTGCTATTACTGTCTCAGCTTTCATCTGCACATGTCAAGTGTATATTAACATATGCTTGTAGTTAGGACTCTGTGATGTCCTTCTGTCAGGAGAGAAGCTGGTGTTGCAAATAAACAAAGATTTGTTTATTTGAAAATCAAAAGGATCTTCATCGCTGGTTTCCCTCTGAGTAACTGTCACGTCCAGGCCGGGCAGGGCCGGGAGCTGCTCCTGGGTCTCCTACGCGAGTGGCAGTGGCCCAAGCACTAGGGCCATCTTCTGTTGCTCTTCCCACTCCATGGGTAGGGAGCTGGACTGGACTCAGAGCAGCCGGGACACGAACTGGCGCCTATTCAGGATACAGGGCTCCTAGGTGGCAGCTTGACCAGCTAAGCCACAACATTGCCCCCTCATCACTGTCTTTAAAAAAAAAAAATGTGAGTGTGGACTGTGATTTGTGTCTTACTAAGTAGGGCTGCTGCCTTCAAGGCTAAAATCCCATGTGGGTGCTGGTTGGTGTCCTGGTTGTTGTGCTTTATATCTAGCCCTCTGCCAGTCACCTGGGAGAGCAGCGGAGGATGCCTCAAGCCCTTGGGCCCCTGCACCCGGTGAGACACCCAGAGGAAGCTCCTGGCTTTGGCCTGGCCCAGCCCCAGCCATTGGGTCCATCAGTGGGTGGAAGACTTCTCTGTCTTGTCTTTGACTTCCAACTTTAACTTTTAAATGTAAAAATAAATAGGATATATGTAGCTTGTTTTGAGAAGTAGAGAAGGAGCATGCTCCTGTCTGCTCCTGCCCTTCCCAGATGCATGTGATGGCTCAGGCTGTGTCAGGCTGAAGCTAGAAATTAAAAACAAATTCCAAGTCAGGACCCTGAGCCGAGGGACCCCACTGGCAGCGCACTGCTGCTTCCCTGGGTGCACGTTAGCCCGAAGCTGGAGTTGGGGATCAGTTTTTCCTGTCAGGCTATCCGATACAGGATGCGCTGTCCGACCCTCAGCTGGCCACCTGTTGGAGCCTTGTCCTCTGGACCACCGTCAGTGGTTCTGCAGCACTCTGGGTTCTTTGTGTGGATGTCAGCTGCTGCAGTCAGTCTGGAATGCCTTGGTTTTTTTGTTCACGTTGGAAACATAGTTTCCCTGGATACAGAGTTCTTGCGGGGTGGTCTGCCTTGCTCCTGGGGAGTGGTCATCTCATTGCCTTCTAGCCCCAGTTTATGCTGAGAACTTACTGGTAAGACTTTAAGAGTTGTTCATCAGTACTGTGTCTAAGGTTCTCTTTGTAAGCCAGCACCATGGGGTAGTGAGCTAATCCTCCCCCTGGGATCCAGTTCTAGTTCTGGCTGTTCTGCTTCTCGCCCAGCTTCCCCCTGATGCCCCTGGGAAAGCCGCAGAGGATGGCCCAAGTGCCTGGGCTTCTGCACCCACCTGGGAGACCCAGATGAAGCTCCTGGCTCCTACTCTTCTCTGACAGCCCAGCTCTGGCCATTGTAGACATTTTGGGAGTGAACCAGAGGTTGGTGGAAGTTCCATTGGGGCTGGAATTGTGCTGGAGCAGGCTAACCCTCTGCCTGTGGTACTGGTGTCCCCTGTGGGCTCTGATTGCAGTCCCAGGTGCTCCACTTCCCTTCCAGCTCCCTGCTTGTGGCCTGGGAAAGCAAAAGGGGATGGCACAAGTTCCTGGGACCCTGTGCCATGTGGGAGACTCCAAAGAGGCTCCTAGCTCCTGGTTTTGGATTATCTCAGCCCTGACCATTGTGGTCACTTAGGGAGTAAGCCAGCAGATGGAAGATCTTTCTCTATGATTGTCTTTCAAATCAAAATAAATCTTTAAACAGAAGATGAAGTATGTAATGTCTCTTGATCAATTTTAATGAAAAAAATTTTTATCTTAACTCCCACAGATGTATCTACTTTTTATGTTGAAGTCTATTGAGCTTCTTGGATTTATAGATTCAATTTTAAGATTTATTTACTTTGGACCCGGCGCCATTGTGTAGCGGCTAAAGTCCTCGCCTTGAACGTGCCGGGATCCCATATGGGTGCCGGTTCTAATCCCGGCAGCTCCACTTCCCATCTAACTCTCTGATTGTGGCCTGGGAAAGCAGTCAAGGACTGCCCGAAGCTTTAGGACCCTGCACCCTCGTGGGAGACCTGGAGGAAGTTCCTGGCACCTGGCTGAGAATGGTGTAGCACCAGCCATTGCAGTCACTTGGGGAGTGAATTATCGGATGGAAGATCTTCCTCTCTGTCTCTCCTCCTCTCTGTATATCTGACTTTCCAATACAAATAAAAATAAATCTTAAAAAAAGAGATTTATTTATTTTAATGGAAAGTCAGATTTATAGAGAGCAGAGACGGAAAGCTCTTTTGTCCACTGGTTCAGAAGCGGCCACAATGGCTGGAACTGAGTCAATCTGAAGCCAGGAGCTTCCTCCAGGTCTGCCACATCGATGCAGGGTCCCAAGGCTTTGGGCTTTCCTCATCTGCTTTCCCAGGCCACAAGCAGGGAGCTGGATGGGAAGTGGAGCTGCCGGCATATAAACTAACACCCATATGAGGTCCCGGCAAGTGCAAGGCAAGCAGTTAAGCCAGCAGGCTACTGCACCAGGCCGATTTTTTAAAAAACAATTTATTTGAAAGACATAATGACACACCCATTAGGGAAGAGGGAAGTGGAGAGAGACAGAGGGAAAGAGAGGTGTCTTCCCCCACTGCCCTCCTTTGGGAGACCATAGTAGTTATGTTTGACCAAGCCAGGAACCGGAAACTGCATCTGGTCTCCTGCATGGGTGTCAGGGGGCCAAGCAGTTGGGCAGCCTTCTGCTGTGTTTCCAGGAACACAGTAAGCAGGAAGCTGACTGGGGAGCAGGTACCAGGACTTGCACTGGGGTTCCCATAGGGGATGTAACTTAATGCCAACCCCTCATGCTGACATAGCTTCCTGCTGCCTGGCGGTGGCTGGCGGTAAGCTCCTGCAACGGGTGGTCGTTGTTGCTCTACAATGGTTGTTCCTCGGCTTCTCTAGACAGGGAGTTTGCCCTCTGTTCTGTGAGGAGATGAAGCCTTCCTCGGGGCTACTTGCTGTTTGCGGCTTTCCCTCCCCAGCGCAGGCCGCCTCCTCACAGGTCTTTTAACTTTCTCTAACCTCCTTGATAGCTGGACCTATAAGATGGTGGTGGGGAGATTGGCCTCCTCTCCGTCCCCAGAGGACATTGTTCCCAGCCCCTTTCTTCTTCCAGCCGCGTGGGCTTCTCAGTAGCCCAGGCCACTGCAGGGTCAGACAGTGACCACTGCTCACTGTTACTGCCAGAGCCTTCACCAAGGGGCTGGGGAGTCACGGTCAGGGCCTTGGGGGCCAGTTCTGCCTTCCGCAGAGGCCTCCACAGAGGTGGGCCGAGGGGATGGCGTCAGGCAAGGTGAAATGCCACGGAGCCGAGCCCCCTGGTCTCACCAAGACTCGGGGACGCTGCTCTGATGGTTTCGAGCCACCGTTTACTTTCCCCGAGTGCCAACAAAGCTGTGATGAATCTTGCTAGGATTGTGTTTATGCAGGGACAGCTTTGGGGGTTCCTTATTCTGCCAAAAGTGTTTCAGGGTGAATTTTATTTGGTCTTGTTTTTTAAAGATTTATTTATTTTATTGCAAAGTCAGATATACAGAGAAGAGGAGAGACAGAGAGGAAGATCTTTCATCTGATGACTCTCTCCCCCAAATGACCAAAATGGCAGAGCTGAGCTGATCTGGAGCCAGGAACCAGGAGCTTCTTCCAGGTCTCCCATGCGGGAGCAGGGTCCCAAGGCTTTTTGGGCCTTTTTGGCCCCTTTTGTCTCACCGTCCTGGGGAAAGCTGCTTGGTAACTTGGAACTTGGTGCACAAGTGACTCCACTTTGATTTGATTTTTTAAAATTTTGTTTTTGATGATGTCTACATAGTTGATCAGGGTGGGAAGGATTGAGGATCAGGGGAAAGTGGGTGAGACCTTTGTTTTCACATTTCTTTGTATTCCTGTATCTGGGGCAGGGGGTGGCTACAATGGGAAAGACCACACCCAGCCTCCCAGCCGCCTCAATACCCGGGAATCGGGAACAGCCTCCTGGTGTCATCCCAGGGTCCCCATTGTAGAGCGTGTTCTAAGGGTTCTGCTCAAGTAGTTCGATAGTTCTGAGATGCTGTTGATATCACAGCTCCAAGGATGTGGAAATCCTTCCAAGGTCCGTTGGCTGACAGAGTCCACCTCAGAGTTTCTATTCGCCCAAGCTTTCTATTCTACCGTCAAGCTTTGCTGCAGTAGTTGATCCGTTTAATCTATGTTCCTTCTTCTGCAAACCAAATGGGTGCTGTAGCCCATCCTTGCCCTGCCCACCACACACTCGGTCCACATGTATACCAGGGTGACCCCCAATAACCAACATTGGACTGGCCCCCCAGCTCTGGTTCCTGTGCCTGCCAGCACATGTGCAGTGGACTGGTCCAGTCTGTCCCACATCCCATTCAGATCTTGAATATATCATTGGGTCTGAAGTCTTAACTCAGGGAAGGTTCCTTGCCTGTGGTTGGTGAGAGAGCTTCATTCCCCCTCCTTTCTGGGCTACAGTCTCCTTGGGTCTCAGGCCCCTGGGAGCTTGATTTTTTTTCAAGGTCTCGGGCTTGGCTGCAGTCAGTTCGTCAAGGCAGCTCCCTGAAGCTGGTGTGCCTCAGCTCTCTGCCTCATTGTCCCTTGTTAGTGAATGACATTGGGAAGCAGTTAGGAAATGACATTGGGAAGCCCAGATGAGCGGGCAACCAGCTGGTGAGGGCTTCTGGTATGCCCAGGGGCGGGCAGAGGAGGAGAGACCTTGTCGGGGCTGGGGCAGCCTGCTTGGGACTCAGGAGTACCCACTTGGTGTTACAGTATTTTAACCACATCAGTATCGAGGACTCGCGGGTCTACGAGCTGACCAGCAAGGCTGGGCTGTTGTCTCCATATCAAATCCTCCACGAGTGCCTTAAAAGGTAGGGCAGGAGCCCCCGGGCTGTGCTGGGACTGGGGAGGGTGGAGAAGCAGGGGGCAGCGGGTGCTCCCAGAGCAGCTGTCCCTCGAGTTGTCATTCTCTGCTCCCTGTCTCATGATGCCTTGTCTGTTTTCTCTCGAAGAAACCATGGAATGGGTGACACATCCATCAAGTTTGAGGTGGTTCCTGGTAAAAACCAGAAGAGCGAATACGTCATGGCGTGCGGCAAGCACACAGTGCGCGGGTGGTGTAAGGACTCCACCCCTGTCCCTGCTCCCCCCACTTTCCCCTTGCACCTGAGCTCCAGCAGTGTGGGTTGGCTGCCCCATCCTGGCCTCAGGCATGACTGGGGGCGTCCCCGTCCCCTGCAGCTGGAGGGTGGAAACGGGCAACCCATGGGTGAGAGGCCTCAGAGAGAGGTGCTCCTGAGTGGGCTGGCTGGAGCCCCCTCCCCAGGGCACTGACTCCTCCGTGGGTGCTGCTGCTGCAGAAGAGGAGGGAAGAGCATGGTGGAGTGGCACTGCCATGAACCTTGCATGGTACTGGGCCGTGGGGTACTGCACGGTGCCTCTGGGACAGCCTCTCCACGTATGCCCTCCTCTGACAGGCAAGAACAAGAGAGTTGGCAAGCAGTTGGCCTCTCAAAAGATCCTCCAGCTGCTGCATCCCCATGTCAAGAACTGGGGCTCCTTACTGCGCATGTACGGCCGTGAAAGCAGCAAGATGGTCAAACAGGTGACTGACGCCTCCCTCAGCTCTGCCACCACTTCTGTCCCGTAGCTCTGCCGTGCCCAGGGTCACTCCCCAAGTGTGAGTGCTGAGGGGCATGGCCTGCAGAGGTGGCAGGAGATGCTGCCCAACTAGACCTTTCCTGGGCAGCTGTCCTGTGCCTCGTTGGGAACCCCAGAGGTTGCAAGGGAGCAAGGAAAGTAGGGCCTCTCCATGGTGCCACGTTGTGGCCTGCAGAGTGGGTTGATAACCTGCTGTGTGTCCTGTCTTTGCCAACATGGAAGGGGTGCGGGGAAGCACTGGGGGGATGACCCTGAATGTGGAGTGAAACTGGTACCCCCACAAATGGAGGTTTGGGTTGCAGGTAGGGCGAGCTCTAAGATGGCCAGAGGGAAGCCATGTGGGTTAGCGGGCCAGTTAAGGGGACTCTCAGTTCAGGACAGTGAGTTGACATGTAGTCAAAGCTCTTGCCTTCACCATGTGGAGCCTGGCTTCAACCTGTGGCTGAGAGAGAAGGCTGCCTGGGTCAGGAGGCGGGGCTGGGCATGGCTGCCCCCTCGTCTGCCCTTGGGGCCAGCGCCCTGAACAAGGCCTGTGCTCCGCAGGAGACCTCGGACAAGAGCGTGATTGAACTGCAGCAGTACGCCAAGAAGAACAAGCCCAACCTGCATATCCTGAGCAAGCTCCAGGAGGAGATGAAGAGGCTGGCTGAGGAGCGGGTACACACTGCCTTCCCACTCCCCCCCCCCCCAAATGCCTGCTGCCAGGAGCCTCCTTGCACTGGCACTTCAGCTGTGTGATCCCTGCTTTTGTCAGGGGGCATGGGTCTCAGCTGACTCAGTCCTGCTCGGGGCCAGGGTTGGGCTCCAGGGAAGGTTTCTGAAGTCAAGTGTGGATACCCAGCCCAGATGGCCCATCAGGCTGACCATGGTGTCGGTGCTCCAGTGCTGTCCCATTGGCTGCACTTATCTGGGTGAATGTGGCCCTTGTCTGCCTAAAGCTAGCGGGACTGGCCAGCCTGGCTCAGAGTGGAGGGCAGGAGTTGTGGGTTGCTTTCCTTGTGTGTGATGTGTGATTGTGCAGAACACATGGTGGTGAAAGGCCTTGGGAGACGCTGGGCCTAGCCTGCCCAACTTGCTCCTGGTATCCATAGGCTCCCTATCCACCTTCTGAGCCTCTGGCCACACCCTCCTTGCTGACACCGCTAACCTTTGTTTTTGTTGCAGGAGGAGACTCGGAAGAAGCCCAAGATGACGATTGTGGCATCTGCTCAGCCCGGTGGCGAGCCCCTGTGCACCGTGGACGTGTGAGCAGGTGGCATGGGCTGGGGCTGCCAGCCATACTCCCAGCGAGACTACCAGCCTCCGTAGCCGCCGCCGCCTCTGTGGCCAGTGTTGGAGGGCCTGGGCCAGAAGCTGGGGGCTCTGGTGCATGGAACAAGCCAACCCTGTCCGGGAGGGGCTCCAAAGGGAGGATGGACATTTCGGGACCACCTCCTGGCAGCCGCACCTGGAAGCCGGCAGTTCCTAGGTAGCCGTAGAACCTACTATGTGTGCCGCCGCCGCTGCCTGTTTTTAGTGGACATTTTCATGAGTTTTAGTGTAGTGCGCACTGGCAACCCAAGAGACTCGGACAGCAGATGAAATGAGAGCGGACGGCCACGCCCTGCGGCTGTGGCTGGCCCACAGCGCCCGAGCTCCCGCGGAGTCAGATGGCGCCCATGGGCCCTCTCCCCTCCTGTATTTTCTCTGAGAAAGATCGAGTGGTCCAAAATAAATGCAGTTTTAGCCTCAGAATGCTTCTCAGAGATCACAGGCAGGCAGGCCGTCTGGAGGGCACTGGCCTGGCCTCTCCCTGCCCATGTTGCCAGCCACCTGGTGCCCTGGCTGCCTCGGCTGCTTTTCTGGGTCAGTCTTAATGCTCTACAGTCTGCCACAACGCTGAAGCCACTGCGGTCACTGGCCTTGGTGCCAGGTTTTTTTTGTTTTTTGTTTTTTTTTTTTACAAAGATGTGTGCAGTTAAGCCCACCTGTGCAAACCTCAATTTTTAAAGCTTTTATGGCATTTTAGCATTTGGAGAGAAACTTTTGCAGCAAGTAGAAAGGTAGATTTGGAATCTTGCATTTTAGTAAGAGATGATATCGAAGCAGGAAATGGGTCCTCTGCGCAGCCTGGCCTGCTCTCCCATTTCCCGTGCTTGCTGGGTGCCTACAAGTGGCTCCTTTCCCAGCACGTGGCTTGGGCACCGTCAGACACAGTAGCGTTGCAGTGTCACCACACCCGAGGATGCTGATGGGCCATGTGCCAGCCTCGGTGTCTCCCTCCCGCACTGCCTGTGTGACTGAGTTGGCTTCTATGTGGTCCCCAGGGAAAGCTCCGCATCCCACTGCTGTAATCGCTTCTGTCTTGCTTCCTGTCTGCAGCTCTGCATAGTCACTTGACCCTGACTTGCCCTTAAACAGCCAGATGCACCCAGGAGCCAAAGCCCATGCGTCTGATCCCCTGCAGCCAAGGAGCCGCACGGTGACACTAGCACAGTGGGTCGCAGCTACCCCCTACCTCCAGCCACTGTGTGCACAGGCATGCTGGGTACTGGTGCCAGTGCTGCTTGTGTGCCAGCTCTGGTTGCCTGAAGCATAAAGCAAACTGTCCAAGAGGGAGTGGCTGTGTTGCTTTCTTGTGCCCCAGAAGCCTGGGGCTTGTGAGCTACCAACTGGCCAGGCCTCTCCTAGAACTGCTCTCCCACACACACAGAGGACAGACACCAGCTTCCACAGAAGTGGGGCTGGATTCTGGCCTTGCCTCAGCCCTTCCCAAGCCAAGCTTTAGGAAGGACCTGCCTTTAGCCAGGTGCAGGGGTGTTAGGGTCAGCCATTTGCGCTAGCCTGCACCCTGGCACATCCAGTGTCTGCCTCTCTTGGCTGAAGCAGCAAGTCCTAGCACCCTGTTCAACCCAGCCGGGCAGATCCTTATTGGGCTCAGGGCTATGGAGAAGGTGGCCCCCAGAGGCCAGGCATTTCTCATGGGGGGGGGGGGGGAAATGACTAGAGTGTCCTGCTGCTGTACACCCATGGGGTATAAAGGGCCCCTACATGCCAAAGCGATGCATCGTCACAGATATCTTAGTTCAGCGCTTGTTTATTCTGCCCCTCTGAGGTGGTGGCAGGCAGGCCACAGTGGCACACAAGTCCTCCCAACACACACACACACTGCTCCCCACCTAGCACCCTGGGGTGTCACAGGGCTTCTGTCTTCATGAGGCATCCTGCTCCAGTAAGGTTGGCTCTGTGGTGCCCAGGGCCTCTGGGCTGCCATCAGGAGGCCCTGGGGGCAGCTGGGCGGCAGGGTCCCCATGCTCCAGTGCCGCAGTGCCGTTGGGGTGCTCTACCCTCTCAAACAGGATGAGCATCTCACAATGTGGAGTCTGTGGGAACAGGTCCACGGCCACAGCCTTCATGGGCCGGAATGGGGTGCCCTTTACGCGGTTAGATGGAGCCCTGCACAGACTATAGGGGAAAGTGGTTTTGGTCAGCTGCCCAGGGCAGTGGGGGAGCTGTCCGCTTCCTGATCCCTGCCCACACTTACTCCACAAAGTTGCTCATGGCTGCCCGTGGGTTGCATGAGACATAGAGGAGCCGCTTGAGGTTCTCAGCTCTGCGGACCGCCAGTATCACCTTGGAATCTGAGAGGCAGGAGTATGGGTGTGGGACGGGTCTCCAAGTTTGAGCCGGCACCTCAGCCCGACCACCTCCCTAAGCAGCCACTCACGCAGGCCGGCGCGGGGTGGATCCAGGATGGCCACAAGCTGCTGGGAGGCAAGTCTGCTCACCAGGGCAGGCACCAGGTCCTCGGCCTTGCCGCAGTGGAACTCCACATTGCTCAGCTCTAGGAAAAGGCCCCCAGCCCTGTCAGAGGCTCCGCTGCCCACTCCCCAGCTGGGGAAAGCCTCTGGTGCAACCCCCCCCCAGGTCTTGAGGCCTGCCCACCTGCCCGTGACGTGGCTGCCAGCCCTCACCATTGGCACGGGCGTTTGCCCGGGCATCCTCCACAGCCTCTTGGCTCAGCTCTATCCCAATGACCCTCTTCACTTTCTGAAAGGGGGGGGGGGAGGGTGGTTGGTGACCTCCTCCTGTCCCAGAGGCTTCTAGAGGTTTGCAAGGTGGGGCAGGGGGATCACCTGGGCCAGGGCCAGGCCGATGGTGCCAGTGCCACAGCACACGTCCAGCACTGTGCTGCCCTGATCCAACTGTGCCCACTCGCGGATGACTGTGTAGAGCACCTCGGCCGCTGCTGTGTTCACCTGCAGGGCGGGCAGCAGAGCAACAGCAGTAGTCATGACTTCACCTCATCTCATACAGCCCCTGTCCGTCTTTGTGGAGGCCAGGTGCCTGTACCCCCAGTGACCAGAGGGGTCCCTGCCCTGGCCCCTTCCACCCTCACTACATCCAGATGTGGTATGGGGCTACCTGGAAGAAGGCGTGGGGGGAGATGCGGAAGGTGAGGCCCAGCAGGTCCTCATGGATGCAGCGGTCCCCAGCTAGGTGCTCCAGGGGCAGCCCCTCCTGGCTGGGGGTCTTCCTACAGGTGGCAGGGGGACAGGCCTGTCGGTATCACCTAGGGCCCTGCAAGGCCAACCCCAGTCCCAGGATCTGAGTTGCTCACCGCTGTCCCTCCTCTGCAAAGTATAGGGAGGTGACACCGCTGGTCTTGCCGAGCCCCTCGGTGAAGTACTGCGCCAGGGACGCCTTCAGCTCCGCCAGCTCTTCAGAGCCCAGCTTCTGGAGTCAGGGTGGCAGGAGAGGCCCATGAGGCCATGCCAGGAACACACCACCAGCAGGCCGGGCACCCTCCCCCAGCAGGGCTGCTTGCAGAAACCTGGGGATGGAAGTAGGCAGTGGCCATGGCTTGGCCCTGGCGGCTGGTACGCACAGTCAGCTGTTTCCAGTGGCCTGTGTACGTCTCAGGGTCGTAGGCCGAGTAGGGGGTGGATCTGTGGGCAGCCCAATGTAATAATATGACATCTGCTCAGCAGGCTCCCTCCCCCACCTGCCTCCCCAGGAAGGCACCTCACCGGATGAATTCCTGGAAAGCCTTCACCACCCGTTTGGTGGCCTCGGGGATGTGCACCGTGTCAAAGGGGGGTGCCACAGCGCACGTACCACCCTTATACTTGCCAAGCCGGCAGCCCACCGTGTTGTCCTCCCCATCTACCCCAACGCCGACCAGGAACTCACACTTGTTGCGGTACTCGGTCTGCAGGGTGGTGAACAGAGGGGCCGCACAGGTTTAACCCAGCCTGTGCCGCGGGTAGCCAACACAAGGGGCTGTGGACCGGCAGCTCTCTGTGGCACCCCATGCCTGACCTGCTGGGGTGACGGCCGCACCCCCTCCAGCGGGCAGCATGCTTTGTTGTGCTTGTGCCTCTGTGAGAGCAGCCAGGGCAACAGGGCGCGGTTGGTACTTCCGATCTCCCTGTGGGACAGGCGGATGGAGGTGCACTCAGACCTTGCCAGCCACTGCGTCCTCCTGCTGGAATCATTTCGTAGCCCCCGCGGCCTAGCACAGGGAGGCGCTTCTTCCTGGCCTTGCTCCCTGAAGTAGCTGGGACCCTCCTGCAGGTTCTTCCCTAAGCACGCACAGAGGGACGGTCCACTCACTTGGCCAGCTTCTGCAGCACCTGCTCACACTCCAGCCGCTTCCGTTCCAGCTGCTCGGCGTAGGGCACCGTCCACAGCGGAGTGACCACGTCGGCCACTTGTGTGGGCGCCGCTGGAGTCTCGCCCTCGCCCCTGGCCTCACCCTCTAGTCGCCTCTTGCGGGCCATGGGGTCGGCCTTGGGCCGCGCGAGGCGCACGCTGAGCGGCTTGCCTTTCCAGAGCGCGCCGTGCAGCACGCGCAGGGCCTTGTCGCGTTCGGCCGCGCTGCGGAACGTGACGAAGGCGCAGGGCGGCTGCCCGAAGAGCTTGGTCTTGTGCGGCTGCAGGCCGAAGCGGCCCAGGAAGCGCCGCACGTCGCTGAAGCTGGCGTGCCGGGGGACATGCTGCAGCTCCAGCTTGAAGATCTCCGAAGTGAACAGGTCGGCCCGGATGTAGCCGTAGGGTCCGGGCGGGGCCTCCTCAGGCTCCCCGTCTTCCCGGGGCGCTGCGGCTGCAGGGGTCCCCGGGGCGTTGCTGCTCTCCGGGCCGCAGCCTTCCATGGGCTCCAGACTCTGTGTGGGCGCAGGCAAGAAGGGCTGGACACCCTCCCCAAACCCTGGTCCCCCATCAGTGCGCGCGATGCCCCGCCCGCCGCCGCCAGCTCCCGCGAACCCCACACCCCCACGCCACCCCGCTCCGTGTCTGCTTTTTATTGTACTTGATTTTCGAGGGTGTCGCTCATGTCACCGGCTTCAGGAGCCTGCCGCCCTGCGCTCCCACTGCGAGGCCGCCTGAAGCCGCGTTCTGGGCCTGTCTCAGAGCAGATGCTCAGAAATGCAAGCCCGACGCCACGTGTCAGCCCCACACAGACACACCCGCCCCGGGCGCAGGGGCGGGACTCGAACCCTCGATGATCTGGTCCGGGTTTCCGGGCAGGAGCAGCACCGCCCGCCCGGGGCCCGCGACGGACACCGGCCTCGGTCCGCCCAGCCACTCCTCCAGTCGGCCAGCGAGGCACGCCGAGGAGGCTTCGTTTCTATGGTCCTGACTTCCGGTGGCGTCATCGCCTCGCGCCGCTCCGACAGGGGAGGCACTTTGTCGGGAGCGAGGGGCGCGCGCGCGGGGCCGGCGGGGAAACGGAAACGCGCGCGGGGGCCGCCGGGAGTGCGCGCGTTCGCGCCGGCGGGTGGGGGGTGCCGGGCATGCGCCGCGGGGGCGTTTTGGCGGGAAGCGCGGGGCGGGCTGGACAATGAGAGTGTCCGCCGCCTGAGCCAATAAAGCTGCGCTGGTTTTGAATCGCGGCGCGTTTCCCGCCGCCGGGGTCAGGGGTCGGGGTTCGGGTCGCGGGGCGGAGGGAAGAGAAGAGAAGAGCGATCGGCTGGGCGGGAGGCGCCGGCGCCAGAGCGGACGGGGAGTTAAAAAAAAGAAAAAGAGATCTCCGACACGAGCAGCCGCCCAGAGGCCGCGGAGTCCGCGACGCCCGAGCCGCCGCGCCCCCATGGCGGCCACCAAGGTGCGGCCGGGGCCCCGGGCGGGTCGGAGCCGGGGTGGGGGTGGGGAGCCGGGGCCGCTTCCCGGTGGCCACGTGGGCGGCCCCGCGCCGCGGCCTCCAACCCCCGTCCCGGCCTGCGGGAGGCCTCGGGGTGCTGCGAGCCTCCCCGCGTGGCCCTGGGGTGCTGCGAGCCTCCCCGCGTGGCCCTGGGGTGCTGCGAGCCTCCCCGCGTGGCGCTGGGGCTCTGCGACCCTCCCCGCGTGGCCATGGGGGTCCTGCGAGCCTCCCCGCGTGGCCATGGGGGTCCTGCGAGCCTCCTCGCGTGGCCGTGGAGTGCTGCGAGCCTCCTCGCGTGGACCTGGGGTGCTGCGAGCCAACCCGCGTGGCGCTGGGGCTCTGCGACCTTCCCCGCGTGGCCATGGGGGTCCTGCAAGCCTCCTCGCGTGGCCCTGGGGGTGCTGTGAGGCCCTGGGGGTACTCCGTAGCTCCCTACTTGGTCTCGCGGGTTTCTGCGAGGCTCCTCGCGTGGCCCTGGAGGTGCTCCATGGCTCCCCACCTGGTCTCGTGGGGTGCTGTGTGGTCTTGGGGGGCGCTGGGAGGTGCTCCTCGTGGCCTCGGGGTGGTGCGTGGCTCCCCGCGTGACCTTGGGGGGCCCGTGCGCTGCCTCACCACCGTTCTTACTACCGCGTGGCTCCCACGCAAGGCAGTTCTTCCATTCATTCCGGGCTCCCCCCGAGCGGGGCGGGGGCGGCTTTGTGTTTCCCCGCAGCGGAGCCGCAGTGCTGGATGGAGGGGGATCCGGGGCAAGGGCCTGGAAAACCTCGCGCCGGTGTGTCTGGCTTCATGTATTTTTAGAAAATATTTCTTCTTTAGCGGACATTTGGTCCGCCGAGCCACGTGCCTAGCCCTGGTGTGATCGTGCCCTGTAATTAAGAGTTTTAGGAGTTTGCCTGCATGTGATTTTTTTTTCTTATCAGCGTCAAAACCTCAGTTGTCTCAGGGTGGGCCAACCCGAGCTTGGAGTTCGATTTTTTTTTTTTTTTTTTCTTTCCTCAAATCATGAGAAACTGGAGGAGTTGCCTTCAGGGCCTCGGTCCTCGCTGGCCGTTTGATCTTCCCACGCAGGGAGGTACTGGGGTAGGCAGGTTTCGGCCTGGCAGCCCTCACCAGGGACTGCGTGGGGAGGCGGGGATGCTCCGGGTTCCAGTTCCTGCTTTGCTTTGCAGCGAGACCAGGAGCTGCATGGCCACCGTGGGCCAGCAGGGTCACCTGCGAACACCTCTCCTTCTGCAGGACACTCACGAGGACCACGACACCTCCACGGAAAACGCCGACGAGTCCAACCACGACCCCCAGTTTGAACCCATAGTGTCTCTTCCCGAGCAAGAGATCAAAACACTGGAAGAAGATGAAGAGGAACTTTTCAAAATGTAAGCGATTGCTTGCCCTCATGCCCCGCCTCCCCCGGAAGTAGTTGTCTTCCCCCAAGTCTGAGGCTGCAATCTGTGTTATCTGCCTGTCGATTGATTGATAGATTGATTTGGAAGATTGATGTGTCATGTTAAAAGGCAGAGCCCGCGCACAACAGCTCCCTCCCCTGATGGCCACAGTGGCCAGGGCTGTCAGCCTCCTGGCTGCTCCCCCCTAATTTTATGAAGACCTGGATCCGTGTGGTGACAAGTGTGTGGTGTGTTCCAGCTGCCGCAGCACAGGCTAAAAAGTCCCAGACCTGGATGGGGGAAGGGGCAGCAAATGGCTAGCCTGGACCTCCTCATACCAAGTGCTGAATGTCAATTTGGGTTCCTGCCACCTTAGTGACCTCATGTGACCCTAGCACCTCACCCCAGCCTGCATTAGGGGGTGTGGATTCTGGGGCAGGTTGCAGAAAGGGCCTGCAGTATACAAGTAGAAGCTAGTTGGCCACTTTTGGGGACAGGTGTGGGGTGTGAGCACGCAGGGACTGGTTCAGCCCCTGGCTAAGTCCTTAGACCCCATTCCTGCACCCCAAGGTAGTCCAAGAGGCCCAGGTGGGGCCTGGAGCTGAGGGCAGCCCTGTGGCACCAGGGAGCAACAGGCATCCTCTGAGCATGCAGACTGCCCGGGACTGCCCCTTGCCCGTGCCACCAGGGGAAGCCAGTGTCCCATGGAGGGGGGGTCTTGGCATCTTGGTCCTGATGGGGAGCCTGGCGGTGGGGTCCTCGGCCTTGCCTGCTTGCAGAAGTGCTGTCCCTGGCATCTGTTAGATGCAGGCATTCCTGCCGGGGCAGCTTGGGCTCCTGGTTATGGGGCGCAAGTGACTGGTGACAGCAGCTTGCCTGCTCTTGCTGGTGCTGTCGGGTCTGGTTGCTGGGCATCTATCTGCTGGCGCCCGCTCACCTGGTGGCTTTCCCACAGGCGGGCCAAGCTTTTCCGATTTGCTTCTGAGAACGACCTCCCGGAGTGGAAGGAGCGCGGCACGGGTGACGTGAAGCTCCTGAAGCACAAGGAGAAGGGGACCATCCGCTTGCTCATGAGGAGGGACAAGACCCTCAAGATCTGCGCCAACCACTACAGTAGGCACCACCTGGCCTCCGGGAGTGTGTGCTCCCATGTTGGCACACACAACCTGGGCTGGGAGAGAGCAGAGTGTGTGTGCAGCAGTTTTCCTGTCTAGGGCAAGGCGGGAGCTCTGCCACCCTAGAATGATCTGGGGGGCTAAGCAGGATGCAGGCCTGGGGAGAAGATAGCCACTGCACCCTTGAGTGGCCCTCCTGGGTCCCCATGCTTGGGTAGTGGTTAGTGCGGCCGTCCTGCCTCATTTCAAGCCCAATGTATGTCATTTCCTCCCATGTTGGGGTGCTGGTTGTTTGTGAGAACTGGAAGTTGGTCCCCAGCGTCTGGGCGGAGCTATCTGCATGCGGTGTACTTCCTGGGGCGGGCAGGGTGGTGCACCAGTTGTGGTGTGGCCCTAATGGCTCCCTTGGAGAGTGGCTGGGGAGCCTTTCTGGGAGGGTCACAGGCAGGGCTGGCTCTCCAGCCGGGGCAGTGTAGGTATGCTCACCAGAGGCCCCGGTACTGTCGTCCATGACGTAGGAAGATCTGTTGTGGGCTCCTGGTGGCCCTAGGCAGCAGGCGGCTCACCTGAATGGGCGCTGCCCCCATGCAAGGGCACCTTTCATCTGCCTGCCAGGGCTCCCCTGTGAGGTGCGCAAGGGCAGGCACAGCCACGTGTCACATAGCTTGCTTAGCAGGGTCCTGCTCAGTTCACATACACACACCCCGTCCTCTTTTCCAAAGTGGGGGGTCCCCATGCCTAGTATCCCTTAAAGGAAGAAAAAGTGGGAATGCCAGCCTCCTTGTGGCTGGGGAGGAGCCTAATGGTGATGGGGTGTATTCACGGAGTAGGGGTCAAATGCCTGCCGCTTGGCACTTGGTGGAGGCCTGGTGCCCAGTCTGGAGGGGGGCTGGGTGGCATACCATAGGACTGGGCTGGCCTTGGGCCCCACAATCCTCACAGGCTTCTCCCTCTTCCCAGTCACACCGATGATGGAGCTGAAGCCCAACGCAGGCAGTGACCGCGCCTGGGTGTGGAACACCCATGCTGACTTTGCCGACGAGTGCCCGAAGCCGGAGCTGCTTGCCATTCGTTTCCTCAATGCTGAGAGTGAGCAGAGCATGCACAGAGCCCTTTTGCTCAGGGAGGGTTGACCCAGGCCAGAAGTGTGGTCACACTGAAGCACAGGACACTAAGTGTCCCCAGAGCTGTCACTGAGTACCTGCTCTGGCTGGGGGTTCAGTCAGATCAGCAGGCCCCTAGGCTTCCTCAGCACAGCCATGGGCTGACCACCCCACTCCAGGGCTTTCTGATCGGGCCTGTCAAAAGTTGGGGGTCAGTGGTGGACTGACAGGTGTGCTCTGGGAGCAGGCCTGTCTGATCAAGGGCAGAACCTAAAGCAGGGAAGCTTTGGCCAGCTCAGGGCTGTGATCAGATGGCTCAGATCATCAGAAACTCAATGCGACTCTTGCAAGCCAGCTGCAGTCCCAGTTACTTGGGTTCTGATCCAGCAGAGCATCGCTACCCAGCGTGGGAGCCCCTGGCTGAGGATTAACCCGCCATTGCTGCTTGGGCCTCAGGACACTGTCCCTTCTTTCCACAGATGCACAGAAGTTCAAAACAAAGTTTGAGGAGTGCAGGAAAGAGATGGAGGAGCTGGGTGAGAAAGGTGAGCAGGTGTCTCCGGTGGGGAGGGGTCCCCGCAGACGCACTCTGCACCTGCTGCAGCCACTGGCAGGTGCTTTTTCCGTCTGCCAGAGAAGCCTTCCGGGTGCCGTGCCCACCTCGACTGCACCCGTCGGGTGATGCGGCTACTCCGGGGACACAGGGTGCTGGGGGAGGAAGCGCGGAGCGGGGGGTGGCTGCAGCTGCAGTGTCTGACTGTGCCACCCCGCCTTGGACAGGATCCAGCAAGAACGACACCACCGAGAACGTGGCTGAGAAGTTGCAGGCCCTCTCGGTGAAGGAGGAGAGTGGGCAGCCGGCAGGGCAGGCCCAGGAGGCCGCAGCGGAGCCCGCCACAGAGCAGCAATGAGCCACCACCCCGTTTCCTCATTCTTTTCTTCTCCTTCTGCCTTTTTTTCTTTATTTTATTTTTTTTAAAAAAACCCTGGGCGCCCCTCCCATTCTTTTCTGTTTTATTTTTGTTTTTGCAAGGGACTTTATATAAAGAACTGAATTTAAAATTCTGTCCATTCCCCAGTCATGAAAATGTACTGTGCTAACTTTTCTTTTTCCATAGTGGAAACACTTATTTATAGGCATCAAAGATAGCAAATAAAAACACATTTGAAACCTGGACCTGATGCCAGTGCTGCCTGTTGGTGGGGTGGAAGTGGCCTGGGGCTACCCTGACTCCCCCAGGCTCATGCACAGGTCTGTCTGCGTGGCTGCTACATCGCAGGTCAACAATGGCGGTGGGGGGTTCACAGGGCCTGCTGCTTCTAGAGACTTGGCCAGGCTGGCAGCCCTGCCACACTAAGGGGTAACTGCTGGAATGGCAGGGGGGGGGGGGGATCTGTCCAGGGCAGGATGGGAATGGGCTAGGATGCCACCCTTGAGTGGCAGTAAGATCGCTGGGCATGCCCTAGGGTGGCTGACAGGCCTTCTTCTGGGAAACACATCCAGAGGTTGTGTTCCAGACTTAACTGGTCACTATTGCTGTCTGCCCACCTGTGGAAGGTACAAAACTCTCGTGTGCCTGTGACAGAGGTGATGGTGCTGATAGAGGTGGCTGGGCTGCCAATGGAATGATGCTGTGGCCTCTTCCTCCAGGAAGCCCACCCTTCCCACAGAGGGCAGGGGCTGGACTTTCCGTCTGTCCTGGGGGACCATGCTGCAAGGGAACCCTACAGCAGGGAGCAGCCTGCCTTGCACACGGTACAGCCAAGCAAGGATGCGTGTAGGAGCTCGTGCAAACTGTTCAACCTCTGTTTGCAGGCGGGGTCCCCTCTACCTGATTGTGTTTTTGGTTTGTTTGATGTTTATTTGAAATGCAGAGAAAGATCTTTTCCCTGCTTTACTCTCCAGATTGCCAGGACTGGGCCATTTTAAGGCAGGAGCTTCACGCAAGTCTCTCCCACATGGGTGCAGAGATCCAAGCACTCGGTCCGTCCTCTGCTGCTTTCCCAGGCGGATTAGCTGCTGGATCAGAAGTGGAGCAGCAGGAACGCTAACTGGCACTCATAATCTAGCACTACCACAATATCAACTTTCCATCAATTTTGGGACTCCTGTCCCCATGTTAAAATTTAAATTGACAGGCCCGGCACAATAGCATAGTGGTTTAAGTCCTCACCTTGCATGTGCCAGGATCCCATATGGGCGCCGTTTCTAATCCCAGCGGCCCCGCTTCCCATCTAGCTCTGTCTTGTGGCCTTGGGACCCTGTGCCCTTGTGGGAGACCCAGAAGAGGAGGCTCCTGGCTTTAGTTAGGCTCAGTTCCAGCCATTGTGGCCACTTGGGGCTGTTTGTAAATCTGACTTTCCAATAAAAATAAATATAAAAAAATTGGGCTTAAGCAGAGACATACGCTGTAACAAGTAATAACATCACAAATACAAAGTGAATGTGGTGTCTGGATCATGGCAACCTGAGCATATGATGTTTTTTTTCCTAGAAAGTTGAGCACTTTGGCCTTGTCACAAGAAGTGTTTTATGCTGTTGACGGGGCCTGGGGCACAGGTCTCAGTTAACACTGAGGGGGGCTAACACTGGGGGGGGGGGCACACGGTGGTCGTTTGCATGATTTCATGCAACTCAGAAGGGTACTCAAGTTAAAACTGCCTAACTGTTGACTTCCAGAATGTTCCAGCTCACACTTTTGGACAAAGGCTAGGCAGGGGTAACTAGGCCAGTCGTGGAACAGGTTAGGGGTTGTTTTGTGCCTCCTTTTCCTTGTCTGTGGCCGTGGGCTCAGCAGCAGTAGCCTGGTCCAGAACTCTCCCCCACAAGGGAGTCCATGAGTGAGTCCAGGGCTCTGCAAAGGTGTGTGGCACCACTGGTGAGGGGTCTGGGGCTTTCAAGTTCAGGTGCACCAGGGGCAGGAGCATCTTTCAGCTGGGGTGCATTGCTCCATCAGCCTGGCGGGGAGAGGGGTCAGTGTGTGTCCACGTCTGAGGTGTGAAGGCATCCCCAGCCACTCTTGGGGAGGCCGGGGTTTCTTGCTGTGTAGAGGAGTCTATCTCGGAGAGGTCTGGGTGCAGGCCATCCTCAGCCTGCTCCCCTGTTCTCCCAACAGGATCCCCCAGGCCGCATTTGGGGGCGCTCCGCGGCTGGTCCAACTCAAAGCAGCCGCTTTCCAGGCAGCAGCGCCTGAGTGGGATCTCCTCAGGAGGTGGGCCTGTGCTGCCTGGGGGCCCCTGAACCAGCACCGGGTGGCCCACCCAAGGGCACCCCTTTCTCTAGCAGGATGAAGGGGTTTGCCCCACGTGCACTGGAGACAGCACACACACTCTGGCATGTAGAGGGGGGCTGGTGTCCTGCCTGCGGGCCAGCTCAGACCAGCCAGGTGGGCAGGGAAGCGGGCGGGTCACCATCCCCTCCTTATTGCCACAGGAGCTCCATGTGGAGAAACTGGAGCGAGGACCCTCAGCCTGGCCACGACACCCACCACCCGCCTGAAGAGGTTGCAGAGGGGGTCGGCCCACAGGCCCCAGAGGTGACCCGCTTGACCAGTCTTCACGCACCGGGTGGGGAAGGCTATACGGGGGTAATCGCAAAGAGGAAGGTCCCTAGACGAGAGGCGCCCCGCCCCTCCGAGGGTCCCGAAAGCGCCCGGTCCTCGCCGCTCCGCCCCGCCGGCCTGGCGGCCCGGTCCACCTTAAGCGCGCTGACATCAGCGCGCCGCCGCCGCCGCCGCCCGGGGGGTGGGATTTCCTCCGCCGCCGCCGCCGCCGCCGCCGCGGGTCCTGCGCCGCGCGTCCAGCCCGCCCGCCCCGACCCGGCCCGACCCGGCCGGCCCCGCCCGACCCGGCCCCGGGGAGGGATGCGGCGGCGGCGCGGCGCCCAGGATGCCCCGCAGCCCCGGGACGCGCCTCAAACCCGCCAAGTACATCCCGGTGGCCACGGCCGCCGCGCTGCTGGTCGGCTCCAGCACCCTGTTCTTCGTGTTCACGTGAGTGAGCGCCGCCGCCGCTGGCGGCTCGGCCGCGGGCACAGCCTGGGCGCGCGCGGGGCGAGGTGGGCTGGGGGCCCCGGGCCGGGCAGGCCTGGGTCTCGCGCGCGCAACGACGGGGGGCAGGGGCTCGCGCTGGGCCGGGCAGCCCCGGGGGAGGGGGCTGGAGCCAGGTGCGCAGGGAGCGGGTGCCCGGGCAGGTGAGCGGATCCTGGGGCCTGCCTGGCGCCTTGGGAGTGTGCCAGGCTGCCCAGGGCGTGGCTGCAGCCCTGCCCTCTGCCCTCTCCATGGAGCTCGCCAGAGGACCTGGGCTGCCGGGCGCCACTGGGGGTGACCGGTGGGGCGCCCCTCCCGTCCCCTCTTGGCTGCCTCATCAGGACCCCCCCAACCCTCTACACACATGTACACAAACAGGGGTCACAGCCAAATTGTTCCCGCACGCGTAGGTGTGGCCTGGCCTGGTTGCCACATGCCTGCCCCTGTGGGCGCTGTGGAGGAGGGAGACCTGACCCTCCTCCCCAGACAAGGGGCTCTGTGTCTCTGGACAAGGTCTTGTGCAGGCGAGGGCCCAGGCAGGCCTGGCCACACCCAGGGGCACCCAGACATTTGGGCAGAATCGCCTGTGTGGGGAGTTGCCAGGACCCTCGAAGGCCAGGCCTCCCTCCCCTTCTGGGGCACGCGGGGTCATCCATCCAGCCTAGACTTGACCCTGAGACAAGGATAAGCACTGGCAGACCATATGGGGGTAAGCAGGGCTGGCTGTCCCTCAGGGTCACTGGGTCACGCTTTTGGGCTCTGCTCCGTATACATGCACACACACACACACACACACACACACACGTAGCTGGAGCCAGAGCCACTTGTTTAGAGTGAGAAAGGGTCTGAGTAGGGTGGGCACGAACAAGGTTGGCGAGCCCATGGGCAGGTCTACAGTGGACCTGTGTGTGAGTGGAGGCTGGGGAGACGATTGTACCTGGAGGCTGGGGCTGGGCAGGTGGTGTAGGCTGCCAGGCGTGTCTTAAAAAAGACCTATGTGGACAGTTTGTTCCGGGCGCGGGCGAGCTGGCTGGCCACGCTGTTGTCACTCACACGCATAGAGGGGCGAGAGGTGGGCAGCGATGGGGGCTCACACTTCTGGAGGGATGCAACCCCCCCCCCCCGCACGTCCTCCCCCACCAGTTTCTCACTCTCTGTGGTGACTTGACAAGTGGTTCAGTTTGCTCCAAGATGAACCTGGAGGAAGGAAATGGATGGGATGAAAACCAGCCTCCCACTCCCACCCAGTGCACTGCCACGTTTTCCCAGCAGCACCTGGCCGGGTTAGGTGGTCCCTCCCGAGAACTTGAGCCTGCCCCTGGTACCCACCACTGCTGGGGCCATTCCCACACTGTTGGTTCTGGAACAGCCAGGGCTCGAGGTTCAGGAGCACAGGTGCCCTTGGAGGGTGGAGGTGGGTTTCTTTGTGGGGCAGCACCCTGTCCTGTGGCTAGCCCACCCATAGCTGGCCCCCACACCAGTGCAAGCAGCAGAGTGAACGCTACTCTGTACCCTGCGCTGTCCCATAGCACATGGCCCTCTCGTCCCCTCTGCACTCAGAAAACACAAACGGGGTAGGTTCCTTCACACACCAGGTAGCCAGTGGGGGTATCCCAAGTGACGTGGCCCCTCTCCCTTAGCAACTCCCCCAAATGGGTAGGGTGGGGGACCCTCCAGCATCTCCCTGGGAGAGGCTAGGGTGGTGGTTGTAAGGGTGTTATCATCAGCCGGCTTCCTCCCCCCTTCCAAGAAACCTTCTTGGGTTGTTAGTGACTTTGGGGGACAGTGCTGGGCAGGGCCAGGAGAGTTCAAAAATTCAAAACCATTATCTAATAAGGACTCACCACCCATGGCCTGGGGTGCCCCCCACCTCTCCCACAATGGCCTTCTGGCCTCAGGGGTCTCTAAGATGGGCTAGGCACCGGCTAAGCCCCTTGGACCACCACAATCCTCCTGAAGGGCCAGAACGCCAGCAATGTTAAGGAAGAACTTGATTTAAATGAAAACGTCTGAGTTAAAATTTTCCATTCCGCATTTAGCCATGGCAGGATGATCTGCCCCGTGAGCCCCCCTCTTATAGGGCGGGGTCTCCCTGCCTGGGTCTTCCCCCCACCCTCACCCCACCCCATCCATCCATCCATCCCGCCCCACCCTGGGGCTAGAACTGGGGCTTTGACTGGGTGGGGCCCTCCACGGTGGTGGCACACGTCCCAGCCTGTGGCCCTAAGGCTCGCGAGGCGCGTAGGAGGAAGGCCTGGCGCCTCTGAGCTGGGGCCTCTCCACCACTCACAGCATGGCTTGAGCCTGCTGGAAAGGGTTCAGGGGACAGTGTAGACCCATGGCCTGACCACCCAAGGCCACAAGCCCCACCTGTGGCCCAGGGGCCCTTTGGCCTGCCTATCTCTTTCTGGCCCACCCTTGTAAGCTTGGCACTCAAAGATGGAGCCAGCCAGAATGGAGGCGAGCCTGGGGTGCATGTGAGGCCTGGAAGGTGACACTCCTGAAAGGCATGGGGCTCTCCCTGAGTTTGGGGTTCTGCGGAGCCCTGCCCAGAGAGCTCCTGTGTCCTGGCATGTTCTCACTTGTATGTGGGGCGGCGGGGAGGCGCGGAGCAGGGAGCTCAGGAAGGTAGAGTTGAGAAAGGTAGGGAGGTGGGGACAGGGCTGCAGGGGGCGAGAGGAGGAGCAGCAGGTTTGCCCATGCATGATTGTGCACGCATACGTGTAGATCTTGCATGTACACATGTGTGTCTGCACATGTGTGCAAGTGTGCAAACCTGCCTTCTACACAGGAGTAGGTGGCAGCCCCTTGGGGAAGGGAAGTGGAAGGGTGCAGGGCTGTGTCCTCCTAGGCTGGTGATGTCTGGGGTGGGGACAGTGGCTGAGGCCCCAATCAAAAACACCGCGCAAACCCTCCCCCCCCCCAACTTGACACCCAGCCCGTTACAGGTGCGAGCAGGTGCTCCTATGTGGCCAGGGACACCCGTCCATTTCTAGCTTCCAAGGGTGCCCCTGTCACCACCCCATGAGTGGCCTGCCCTCATCCCTGGCCACTGCCTGACCCACCTGGCCTGCAGGTGACTCTCGGTGCTGCCCTGTGTTTCAGAGCCGGACGTGGCATCATCTGAAGTTGTTAGTTTGCTCACAAGGGGTCTGCATTTGCTTGTGGCTCCGATGATGCCATGGGGAGTTGGAGCACAGGGGGCCAAGGGGCTCCCCACCTCTCCCTCGCCTCTTCCCCGGAGGGTTGGGCTGATCTGCCAGGGTCAGGGGTTGGGGGCAGGGGTTGTGCCTCCTGCCCCAAGAGAATGAAGACAGGATCACCTTGCTGTGGCTGGACAGTCTGGTACAGGATTCGGGCTAGTGCCAGCCGACCTTGCTGTATCCCAGCTGTGCTCCCTGTATCCCAGGCGGGTATGGTGGAGGGGGGGAAGGCATTGTGGAAAATTAAGGGCCATCACCAAGGAGATGGCAGCGCGTCCACTCCTTGGGTAGCTCCCGGCCCCCCGGCCAGCCCCGCCGAGGGTGCTGCCGTGGGAAGTGGGCGCTTTAAATAGCCTCTCTCTTTCCCACTAAAAATAGTCCTACTGTCGTGGAGGTGGTTGCCGGAGCGGCCCTGCTGCTGGCGCCCAGCCAAGGCAGGCGTGGGCGTGTCTGTGGGGCCAGCCAGTGCTGCCCCACGCTCAGGGCTGCTGTCAGGTGGGGGGGAACCCCACTGGGCCCCTGACTCACCCTGCAGGGTTTGGGTGCAGGGAGGTGAGTGACTCCCATCCCCAAGGCCCTACAATAGGGGCTGCAGTGGGAAGCTGGGGGGGCGGACCAGAGGCCAGAGGGGCTTCTCAGACTGTGCTGCCGCAGGTGGGGCTGTGGGGGTGTGTACAGGACCCTTCCGGGGAGGGAGCCAGGTGTCTTGGAATGTTTCCTGGGAGAGGGAGGCAGTCTCTGCACGGGTCCAGCAGCCACCTGCCGGAGCTGGTGACAAGCAGGCTTGGAAGGAGCCACCTGGACCCCGTGTATTTTGCTGAGTTGGGCTTGGGGCTCCAATGCTTCATATTTTCCCTGGTGAGAGGGTCTCTGAGGGCCGAAGATGGGCTTGGCTCTGGTCACCCCCTCCCCAGAGGTGGGCCTGTGGCAGCCTGGGGTTCAGACACCCCCCACCCTGGGCCCACCTGCTGGCTGCCATGCCCCACCTCCCTGCCCAGCTGCTCCTCTCAGGTGCCCATGGCTGACCCGAGCTGTGTCCCCGGCCGTCCCCGTCTACAATGGCATCATCTTCCTCTTTGTGCTGGCCAACTTCAGCATGGCCACCTTCATGGACCCTGGCGTCTTCCCCCGAGGTAGGGGTGGAGGGAATGGGGTGGGTGCATGGACTCACTGTGGCTACAGCATGAGTGACTGTCCCTTGAGTTTGTGCACTTTGGCGTTGCTGGCCGTGGGGTAGCCTGGAGGCAGCACGGGGATGGAGCGGGTCCTCTCACTGGGGAAGTGACCACATGCTGTCCCGCTCATCCACAGCGGATGAGGACGAGGACAAGGAGGATGACTTCCGGGCCCCGCTCTACAAGAATGTGGATGTGCGTGGCATCCAGGTCCGCCTCAAGTGGTGTGCCACGTGCCACTTCTACCGCCCTCCTCGCTGCTCCCACTGCAGCGTCTGTGACAACTGTGTGGAGGTGACCGCCCCCACCCCACCCCAGGTCCCCGCCCTGGTCTCTTGCCCTCTCCCGGATACTACACTGTTCCTCCCTTCCCCGCCCTGATGCCCCAGTCCTCCACTTGCCCTGGCCCTTGTGCCTGCCCTCTGCCCAGGGTCCTCTCACCCTGCCTGCCCCTTGCCCTGTGGCCGCTCCCTGCCCTGACACCACTTCTGCCCTGTCCCCCTGCCTTGGCCCTGGCCTTTGCCCCACCCCTACCCCCTTCCAATTCCTACCCTGATGCCTCCCCTGGCCCCCCTCCCCCACCTTGCTCCCACCCAGGACTTTGACCACCACTGCCCGTGGGTCAACAACTGCATTGGGCGGCGCAACTACCGCTACTTCTTCCTGTTCCTGCTGTCACTGAGTGCGCACATGGTGGGCGTGGTGGCCTTCGGCCTGCTCTACGTGCTGAACCATGCCGAGGGGCTGGGTGCCGCCCACACCACCATCACGTATCCTTGCAGTCCCAGAATCCCCTGGCGGACGCAGGGGCTGGGAGGGGGATGGCATGGACCACAGTGCAGGGTGAGGTGGGTCAGCTACCCGTAGGCTGGTAGTGGGACAGCGCACTGCTGGGTGCTTGGCCTTAACAGGCCAGCATGGCGGTCATGTGCGTGGCTGGCCTCTTCTTCATCCCGGTCATCGGCCTCACAGGCTTCCACGTGGTGCTGGTCACGCGGGGGCGTACCACCAACGAGCAGGTGCAGACCCAGCCTATGGGGAATGGGCGGTAGCAAGGACATCCAGGGCTGCACAGGGTCAGAGTGGAGGCGGCAGGGGGCGGAGGGGATCTGGGGCCTGAACAGGGCTCTGGGACCCTAGCACCGCTGTCCACCATGACCTGGGCCCTGGTTGGCTAGGCTGGCTGAGGGCACCTGCCACCCACCTTGTCTGCAGGTAACGGGCAAGTTCCGTGGAGGCGTGAACCCCTTCACTCGTGGCTGCTACGGGAACGTGGAACACGTGCTGTGCAGCCCCCTGGCCCCCCGGTGAGACCCTGCCTGGGGCTGGGGGCGCAGAGTGGGCAGCTATGGACCCTTAGACGTGGCAGATGGGGCTGACCTCGCCCTTGGGGTACGTACATGGCTAGTGGCCCCCGCTGCTGACCCCTCTGCCTGGTTGCAGGTATGTGGGTGAGCCACCACGGCTGCCACTGTCCGTGAGCCTAAAGCCACCCTTCCTCCGGCCAGAACTCTTGGACCGAGCCGCACCACTCAAGGTCAAGCTGAGCGACAATGGGCTGAAAGCAGGCCTGGGCCATAGCAAGGTGGGGTCAGTGGGGTGAGACTCCAGAGGGACTAGGAGCCAGGAAGGATTTCCAGGGAGGGGTCTGGGTGCCCAGTGAAGCCACGTCCCACTCACCGCCGACCCTGCCTTCTCCCAGTCCAAGGGCAGCCTGGACCGGCTGGACGAAAAGCCCCTGGACCTGGGGCCTCCACTGCCCCCTAAGATAGAGAGCAGCGCATTCAGTGGGGACTTGAAGACCCCGCGCCCGGCCAGTGCTGGTGAGGTGGAGGGCCACGCAGGAGTGGTGATGCAGGGGGCCACGGGCTGACCTCCCAGCCTCCCCTCTGTGACTCTGACTTCCTCCCCAGAGAGTGCTCTGTCAGCTCAGAGGACCAGCCCACCTACACCTGCCATGTACAAGTTTCGACCAACCTTCCCCACGGGTCCCAAGGCCTCCTTCTGCGGGCCTGGTGAGCAGGTGAGGAGTACAGGGTTGCATCCTGTCCTGGAAGACCTCCCTCCCCTGAGCCTGCCATGGGTGGCAGAGCGATTCCTGGGTCCTGTCTGGACCCCAGCCTGTGCCACAGCCGGAGTCATTAAATGAGAATGGGGCAGCCAGGCCAGCCCTACTGTGGGGACCCTCTCAGGATTTGCCCTCTTTCATGGGCTGTTGGGTGGGGCAAGGAGTTTAACTCCTCAGCTCCATCCTGTGGGCACTGGTGGTCAGGTGTGTGGGAGCCCCGGTCTGCGGCAGGAAGGTCCATGCTCCACTAGAGGGCGCCAAGTGTCCTCAGTCCGGGTAGGCGGAGGTCCAGGAGTGTGGCGACGCCCCCGCTGGCTGCCCAACTGTCCGAAGAGGGCCATGGTGGCGCTCCTGCCCTGGTGGGTGACTGGGGTTTAAAGAACTCAGTTAACCTTCAGGGGAACACGTGGTGACTTCCTGGTGACCACAGGCAGTAGGGTGGCTGAGCCCTGGCCCCAGGAGCGCGTGTACGTGTGTGTGCGCACGCCACGCGTGTGCGCTTGCTCGCTCGCGCCATGCACAGCTAGTAAGCGCAACCCGATCGGCCCATAGGTCACAGGCCCGGACTCCCTGACCCTGGGGGATGACAGCCTGGACTTCGTGTCAGAGCCCAGTCTGGACCTGCCGGACTACGGACCGGGTGGCGGGGGCGGCTTGCACACAGCTTACCCACCGTCTCCGCCGCTCAGCGCTACCGACGCCTTCTCGGGCGCGCTGCGCTCTCTGAGCCTCAAGGCAGGGAGCCGGAGGGGCGGGGACCATGTGGCCCTGCAGCCCCTGCGCTCCGATGGTGCGAACCCCGCTCCCCACCGTAGCCTCTTCGCTGCGCACGCGCTGCCCAACCGCAACGGCAGCCTGTCCTACGACAGCCTGCTGAACCCAGGCTCGCCAGGTGGCCACGCGTGCCCAGCCCACCCGTCGGTGGGCGGCGGAGGTGGCATGACCAGCTACCGCTCACCCTATCTTCACCCTGGGCCCCTGGGCGACCCCCCCCGGCCTCCGCCCCGCAGCTTCAGCCCAGTGCTGGGCCCGCGGCCGCCGCGGGAGCCGTCACCAGTGCGCTATGACAACCTGTCGCGGACCATCATGGCCTCCATCCAGGAGCGCAAGGACCGGGAGGAGCGGGAGCGGCTGCTGCGCTCTCAGGCCGACTCGCTCTTTGGCGGCGACTCCGGTGTCTACGACGCGCCCAGCTCCTACAGCCTGCAGCAGGCCAGCGCGATGTCAGAGGGCGCCCGAGGTGCAGTGCTACGCTACGGCTCCAGAGACGACCTCGTGGGGGCAGGGCCAGGCTTCGGCGGCGGCGCGCGCAATCCCGCCCTGCAGACGTCGCTGTCCTCGCTGTCCAGCGCCGTGAGCCGGGCAGCCAGGACATCCTCGTCCTCCCTACAAGCTGACCAAGCCAACAGCAGCAGCAGCAGCAGCGGCCCTGGGCCCCGGCCCGGCAGTGGCTCACATAGGTCGCCAGCCCGCCAGGTCCTGCCCTCCCCTCCTGGCACCCCTCGCTCCCCTTCCTATGCAGGCTCCAAAGCTGTCGCCTTCATCCACCCGGATCCCCCGGAGCCGCCACCCTCGCTGGCTGTGCAGAGGTGGGTGCTGAGGGGCGGGGCCTGCAGGAACCCTCAGGGCTGGGCCATTCCTGTGGCCTACAGCTATGTCCAGGGCAGGACAGGGAGGGTGGGGGCTGCCTGAGGTTGGGTCAGCGCCCTGTGGGTACCCTCCCACACTGTGCCCAGTGGTTTACTGTTTGGTGGCTGGCATGGGCCTACCATGTGGGAGGGGCTGGGTTGCAGCCAGGGTCAGACTCAGATTAACCTCCTGACTGTGGAGTCACATGGAGCGGGGTGCTCTCCTACACAGCAGAAACTCTGCTGCTTATAGATTGGGGAACAGGGCAGGGTCGTGCCCCACCCCCCACAATAGGTTAGTGTCTGGGGATGCCAGGGTGCTGGGCACCCCATGGCATCACTGCGATAGCTCTCCGTGCAATCACCTGTGGGATCCTGTGCAGGCCGCTCAGCCCCAAGAGGGCTTGAGCCCAGAGCAAAGCTCCTGCAGGCCACTGGGGAGGGGAGAGGAGGTGGACATGGCAGGCAGAGGGCCAGCCGTACAGTGAAGTGGGAGATTCAGGGACTGTGGCCCATAGGGACGTGGCAGCAGTGTCATCAGAAGTGCTGTCGGCCAGCTCAGGGGACTCTGTCCAGTGTCTGCCTGGCCAGTCCTCTCCGTGCGTGGCCAGTGTCTGTGGGAGGGGACCCAGGAGGGGGCTGACAATGCCACTGCTGTGTCTGTCCTGGTGACAGCACAGCCCCTCCCCCGACCCCACTGTCCTGTGCCATGGTCCCGTGTTCACCTGTGTGCGTGCCTGTGTCTGCTTGTGTTAATGCAGGGACCACCCTCAGTTGAAGACCCCCCCAAGTAAGCTTAACGGGCAGTCCCCGGGCTTGGCTCGGCTGGGGCCCTCGTCCGTCAGCCCCGCCCGGCACACGCTGGTTAAGAAGGTGTCCGGCGTAGGGGGGACCACGTATGAGATCTCGGTGTGACGCCCGGCTGTGCCATCCATCCATCCATCCGCCGTGTTGCCGCGGGGGACCAGGACCCTGCAGTGGCCCTGACCCCAGCTCCGCCCTTGGGAGAGGAGGCCACCCAGCTTGGGGTCAGCAGGAGGGAGGTCTGTGCCTCCAGACCCGGTCCCCTTCTGCTTGTCTGCCCACTCACCAACTCCCCCATGGGAGGCTGGCTGGGGGCTTTCTGCCTGTGCGTCCCGGCCCTTGGCCAGGCTCAGCCCCACCTTCCTGTCCCTCACTGGCCCTATCTGCTCCCTAGAGAGGCCGCCCTGGGGCCCACCCTATAGAGACATGCCCCAGGCCTGCCCTCCCGGTTGCTGCTTCTAACGTGTTGCCTTTCCCGGACCCTGCTTGTGGCTTGGCCAGGCGGTTGCTTCTGCAGGAAGGTCCACCCCTAGATCCATGAGTCCGACAGACAGACCAGCTGTGGTGGGGCTCCCAGCTATGTGTGTCCTGTCTTGCCCTGCCAGTGGGCCTGCGCCCCCGTATGCGTGCGTGCGTGCGTGTGTGTGTGTGTGCGCGCGTGCTATGCTATGTCCCAGCTGGGACTACCGCTGTCCCTTTCATCAAAGCCTTAACCTCTTGCTTTATGCTCTTGTGGGAGGTGACGGAGGCCTGGGGTGGAGTGCAGGCAGAATGAAAGCAAGCTGGCACAGGGTGGTGCCACAACAGGGAGCCCTTCTCCCCTAGTCCCTTCCCTCTCCCCCAGCCCTGCCAAACTGGAGAATCCCCACCCACAGGCTCAGCCAGCCCCCCGTCCCGCTTGCCCCAGGGACCATAGCCCCTGGGAGCTGGGCGGAGGGGCGTGCGGTGGGGGCAGTGCTTTCCCTGGTGTCAGGGACCCGAGAGTAAGCACACTGCCCGCGTCTGCTTGCGTTGTGTCTGTTTTATGTTTTTATATCTACATCTATATATCTATAATTTTATTAAAAAACAAACAAAAAAAGGCATCATCTTGATCTTGTCCTTGAGCAAAGCAAGCTTTGGGGTTGTTGCTGCAGTGTCTTGAGGTGGGGAAGGTTGGAGGTCAGACCAGCAGCTGGGGGCTGGGGACAGTGGCTGGTCATAGGGAGCTCAGCCTGCTCCAGCAGGCACAGGGTCAGGTGTCTAGGCTGGAGTTGAGGAGGTGGGGGGGCTGCTTGGGGCTGGGAGAGGGGTCCCTTCTCCCCAGAAAAGCTGAGGTCCTTGGAGCTGGTGGCGCGGGCAGCACCACCTGCTGGCTGGGGAGCCCTGGTGGTCGGGTGAGTTCCTATGGTTGTTAGGACTTCTGCTGGCCCATTGATCGTGAGGGTAGGTGGGGCTAGGGACAGCCTCACTGGGCATGGCATGCAGGGGGCAGGGCCGGGGTGTCGGCATGCTGGTGGGGGGACCCTGGGGCGCTGGCTGGCCTCATGCTGACTCCACCTTTCTGCTTCTCTCTCACCTCGACAACGCACCCCGGACACACCTGGCGGCTCGCAGGGGGTGGATCGGCACCTGCAGCCGTGGATGGGGGCGGCGTGGCCAGCCCAGGGTGACCCCTGGCCTGCACCTGTGCCACCTGGGCCGCCTTGAGGACCACCCCCCGCTGCGGGCCCCCTGGAGTCCAGCAGAGGGGGGACCCCCACGTGGGGCCACCTCCAGCCTTTTCCCCAGCCTCTCTGGGCGCTAGTGCGACTTGTGACAGCCACCAACCCCATCAAATGGTGGGGTGGGAGAACAGGGCTGCCATGACTTCCAGCCTGCCAGGGCCAGTGACCCTGTATCCAAGTGACCTCAGGAAGTTCCCCACCTGTTGCAGAGGGGGGGTCCCCTGGAGCTGTGTGCTTCCCTCCCCACACACCCTCATCCCAGGTTTGAGGGGGCCAGTGGGGAGCTGCTGGAACCGGAAGGACCTTCACCCCGCCTCCCCGCCCTCTTCCCCACCAAGCACTTTAGGAAAGAGCCACTTACCTACCCCACCCGCACCCCTCACCCCACCCAAGCCCAGGCCTCTGTGGGTTGGGCTGAGGATGGGGGTCTCAGGTTGCACCCTACATCTCTGCACAGCCTCCCCCACCCTGCCCCGTCCGTCCCCGCACATAAACAGATGCCTTAAAGTCAGGAGCCGCCAGCCCCCCAACTGTCGGACACCGGCTTCCTCCCCACCCACCACTTCTCTTAACACGCCACCTCCTTACCCCACCCCTGCAGCCTGCTGGGCCTCGAAGGGTCAGGGTCCTAGTGGGATGGGGTCTTCTCTAGCACAGGGGTGGCTGGTGGCCGTATTCCTCCCATTTGGGGGGCCAGAGGCTTGCTAAGGTTACTAACCCCACCATTAATTTCCCAAAATAAATACTTGGTGTGGACCACCCTGGCAGTCTCCCTGATGAGCCTTGAAGGCTGGCCTTGGTAAGGATAACTGGACTGGGGAAGGCATGATGATGGTGATGATGGTGATGGTGATGGTGCTAACCCAGCCTGTGTGTGTGGGGGGGGGTTGATGTTGAGGCACAGATTCATGGTTCAAGCCCCCGCTAGCCTCTTAGTGGAAACTGTGATGCGACACCCTGGGGTTCAGAGCCCACCTCACTCTATGGTAGGCAGATGGGGCAGGGAGCAAGGAGCCAACCCTGACTTGGGGAAACCCATGTATGTGGTGGGGGGCGTCACCCCAAGAGACCCCTACCCAGGGCCCCACCTCTGCACCACCAGCTAGCCCCAGCGCCTGTGGAAGCACTGGAGCTGCCCAGCCCCGGAGCTGCCCAGCCCCGCCTCCCCGTCTCCATGGAAACAAGATCCCAGACCTTGCTTGTCACGACTCTATGTCCAGCCGCAGGCCCAGCCCTCAGGACAGAACCCGCCTCCACCCTTCTCCGAGGCTCCTGGCGGGGGCGGTGCGCAGCGCCGGTGCTGTGGGCAGGGACCCGCGCGGCCATTGGGCACCGGGGGCCGCGCCGGCCGCCTGGCCTCCTCCTCGCTGGGGCCGCTGGGCCTCCGGCCTAGAAGGGCAGGAAGTCGTCCACCTCGAGGCGCAGGAAGGGGCCCAGCAGGGCCCGGAGCTTCCAGACGGCGGCGCGGCTCAGCAGGGGCGGTACCAGCCCCTCGAAGGGCGCGGGGTCCACCACGTACACGTAGGCGGCGGTGCAGGCCAGCAGGGCGCCCAGCAGCAGCCTCAGGGCCAGCAGCCTGCGGGCGGCGGCGGTCAGGGGGCAGGGGGGCGCCCGGGGCCGGGGGGCGGGGATGGTCCCGGGGATGGGGCAGGGGCATGGGGGTCCGGGGCACTGCCCGCCGAGCTACCTACCAGATCTGGCCCTTGAGGCCCTCGGAGCATGGTAGCGAAGGCCTCCCTCTCTGTCGAGGAGGGACACGGTGAGGGGGCCGGGAGTCCAGCCACGTCCCAATTCCCCATCCCGCCCCTCGCACCTGGCTCCTGGGGGCGGGGTTTGCCATGCTTGACTCCGCCCCCCATCCAGACCCCCCAACCCTGGGTTGGGGAGGAGGTTTTCCAGAGGGCGGAAAGGGAGATCCTTGGTGGGCAGGCGGACGTCGGGGTCGAGAATGCCAGCCTCTCGTCTCCCCCTGGCCGCCCCTGGGCACCTGGTTCCTGGGGGGCTGGGTTTACCATGCTTGACCCCGCCCCTGGCCCAGGGGCGCGTGGAGGAGTGGGGTCCCCGGGGCGCTCACCGCCACGCACGCCAGGTTCTGTTCCTTCCTGGCCTGGGTGCGGCACTGGGCCCGCTCTCTGCGGGTGGAAGCGGGTGGGGAGGAGCCCGGCACAGTCATCACCATGGCGCGTCCTGCCCAGCCGCGAGCCCTGCGCCCCTGCCCCGCGCAAGGCCTGGCCTCACCCCCAACGCCTCAGCCCCTCACCCTAGGATCTCCAACTGGATGCCTTCCATCTGGTCCAGCACACCTCGAATGTCCTTCTTGAGGTTCTGTGGACAGAGAGCAGGGCGGCTGGGTTCTCCCCTGTCACCCGCGACCTTTCTTCCCCCAGCACCGCCCAGTGTAATCACCCCTTTGGGCACCTACCAGGAGCCCGGTGGCCTGGTTGTTGAGGGCCATGTGCACCTCCGCCACGCCGTCCCACACCTGGGAGTGTGTGTGGGGTGGTAACAGGGGAAGCAGAAAGGCCGGGTCAGCCAGGAGACTCACTGACCCCCACTCCCGTCCCCCATCCCGGGAGGGGGCGGGCACCTCGGTGATGGCCATCTTCTTCCTTTCAAAGGACAGGCGGATCTGCTGTAGCTCGTTCTGGGGGAGGTGGGGGAGGAGATGAGCAGGGCATGGGCGGGGTCGGCTCTGTCCCGCCCCCCTCCCCTCTGCCCCCCACCCAGGCCCACCTGCGACTGCTGCACGAAGGCCTCCTCCCCCCGGCACACCTCCTGTCTCAGCAGCTGCAGAGGGGCCCTGTCCTCGGGGGGCCGCGCGGGGCAGGGCTCGGGCGGCTGTGGGAGGGTCCCGATGTCGGCGCCCGGCCGGCGGGCGATGCCCGGGGTCGCGGATGCTCGCTCTCCCGCTCTTATCCAGGTCAGGGCCGTGCAGCTGGAGTGTTCGGGGCACAGGGGCAGAAACTGCTGTCCGGGTCCCAGCAGGGCCCCCAGCTGCTCCCGGAGGTCCTGGTTCTGCCTTTTCTAGGAGGGAAAGAGATGGGGGGTGGGGGAACTGGGTCACGGTCGCTCCTGCCGGGGAGGCCGTTGGTGCGGGCCAGTGCGGCGGGAGAGAGGCCGGCGGCGCTGCTCACCAGGCTGTGGTTCTCCTGCTGCAGCTGCAGGAAGGGCGGTTCTGCAGACCCCAGCGGGTCGGGGGGCGCCCTGGGCGGGGCCCCTCCCCCCGGCGGACACGGGCATGGACAGGACCTGGGCTCTGAGCTGGGCATCCCCCCTTGTCTGGGCGTGCCCTGCTGCAGGGGCCAGCCCCACCCCAGGCCTGCCTCCGAACCAGCATGGCTCGGGCCGGCCACAGGCTCCCGGAGGGCTCTGGGCTGGGGAGGCTCTCCCTCCTCGCTGGAGAGAAAGATCCTGGGGACCTCACCTCCCACCCGGGACCCCGAGACCCCTGCAGGAGGGACTGGGAAGGGCCTGGCCGCCTCCATGGAGTGGGCCGAGGGGAGGGACATCAGGCAGGGCCACCTTACAAATCCCTGGCAGGGCTGCTCCAGGCATCCTCCGTGGCTGCTTGAGGCCGGGGTGGGGGGACATTGGGGGTGGGAGTGGCCGCAGGAGCCCAGGGTTTTCGGCCCCTCCATCCCTCCCTGTGACCCCTTCCTGACCCCGGCTCCAGGCTCTGGCCTGGCCCACCTGCCACCCTCTTACTGAGGCCACTCTAGGGTGTCACGCAGGCCCCCTTCTGGGGATGACAGTCACAAAGGCCTGGGTGGGAGTCCACAGAGGTCATAATGCCATGGGTGTGGGGGGCCCAAGGCCTGAGCCAAGGTTGCAGCGCCCCTCCTGACTGTGCCTATAGCCTCCAGCCCCACCCACCCACCAGGGGGAGCAAAAGCAGATAAGGAACAAAATTCAACTTCTTCTTGCCTGCCCCATTGGCCCCCCCAGCCCTTTCTCGGGGATCTCTCCCTGCTGTTCCTCCTGCTCCTTCCACTTCCATGCTGAGAAGGCCATCAGCCTGTTTTTTGTTTTCAGTAAATTTGGGAGCTGGCGCTGTGGCAAAACTGGTAAAGCCACTGCTTGTAACATCAGTATCCCACATGGGTGCAGATCAGAATCCTAGATGCTCCACTTCTCATCCAGGCTTCCTGCTAAGAGGCCTGGGCAAGCAGCAGAACATGGTCCAAGTGTTTGGGTTCCTGTACCCACTGGGGAGACCAGGATGAAGCTGTAGGGCTCCTGGCTTTAGCTGGGCCCAACCCTGCTGTTGTGGCCATGTGGCACGTGAACGAGCGAATGGAAAGACTTCCCTCTAATGCGTTGGAGAGATCTTCCGCTCATCACTTTGCGAATGCCTGCGGCAGCCAAGGCTAAGCCCAGCTGAAGCTCAGGGAACCCAGGCCCCCCTCTTGGATTACAGGAACCCAGGCTATGGAGCCGCCACCTGCTGCCTCCCCAGGGTGTGCGTGAACAGGAAACCCGATCTTGAACCCAAGCACTCTGATGTGACACATGGGTGCCTTTACTTAGCTAAATGCTGCCTCAAGGTCTGCTTTTTCTATCTAATGTAACTTGGAGATTTTCAAAAATTTCTTCAGCCGATTTTTAAAGAATAGATTTATTTTTGCTGATGTTTACATAGTGAAGAAGGATGCGTACCCATGGGGACCACCAGTTAGGGTGGAAGGGTCGAGGAATGCAGGACAGAGTAGATGAGGCAACTGTCTCCAATCTCTTGTTTTCTTCCTGTGTCTGGGGCGAGGGGGAGAAAGGCAGAAGACCACTCCCAGCATCAAAGCCACATCAGTACCGAGGGACGGCCCCCCAGTGTCATCCCAGAGTCCCTGATGTGGAGCATGTTCCTAGGGCACTGCCTAAGTGGTTTTGATAGTTCTGAGATGCTGTTGATTTCATTGCTCCAAGGTTGAGGAAATCCAAGGTCAGTTGGCTGACATAGTCCACCTTACAGTCTCCACTTAACCAGATACTCACTGTCAAAGCTTGTCCGGGAGAGCTGTCCAGTTTATTCTGCCCTCCATGGAACCAGACGTCCTCTGCAGGCCTCAGTGAACTGGTTGTCATGCACCATGTGCGTCTGGGTGTGCCGTCCACTGCACAGGATTCGACGACCGAGGAGACCCAGTTCTGACACACACACTCCACAGTCAGACCACAGATCCTGTGATTTTCCCGGTAGTTCTGAGCTCTGAGTCCAGTGGTCCAGTTGCAGGTCCCCAAAGAGACCCCACTAGAGGTAACCTCTGGTCTGACTCCTGTATGTGCCAGCCAGTGCGGGCTCCAGCTCAGTCCTTCACCCACAGCAGCCTACGCACACACTGTTGCTTGCATTTTGCTAGGTCAGTTCTGTCTCCAGTTCCATCTCATACACAAACCAATGGATGCTGTGGCCCCACCTGGCTTGTCCCATGCCCCCTCCTGGTTCTCACATCTGTCAGTGGATGCTATGAACTGTCCCAGCCTGGCCCTCTGCCAGACCTGAGCCACATGTGTGCTGACAGGTACTGTAGCCTGACCTGGTTTGGGCTGATCCCAGTCTTGATTCTTGCACTCACCTGCAGGACTGCATCCTAACAGAAGAGTTCCCCAAGCTCCGCTATCAGGTCACCTCCCAATGGCAGATCTCATGCAAACCAGTGGTTCTTTGGCCCAGCCTGACTTGGTCCACCTCCTGTCCTGGCAGGTACAGCGACCTTGCCCAACAGGCCCACACCCATTTTGGCTCTTATGGTTGCATGCTATAGTCCAGCCCTGTCTGGTCCATCTCCAGACCCAGCTCTTGCATGAGTAAGCTGGTCCAAGACCTAACCCAACCCATCCCAATCTAGCCCAACCAGGAACCCTGGTTCCTGCAAGCACTAGCACCTGCTGGAGTCTAGCCCAGTCTGACGCACCCCAGACCCAGTCCACACCCATGCCAAGGTGTACTGCAGCCATGTCCAGCCCAATTTGCCTCCCACATTCCAGCTCTCACACTCACTAATGGGAATAACAATCCAGCTTCCTGACCAGGCCTGCTCCCAGCCACAGATCCTGTGCGTGCCAGCGTTTGCTCTGACCCAGCCCAGCATAACCCATCATCCAGCTTGGCTTTTGCCATCAGATGCTACAGTCTGGCCTGGCCTGGCCCAGCCCCCAGTTCCAACTCTCATAGTCCGCTGCCCCCTCCCCCCGCCCGTGCGCACTGCTAGATGCTGTGACCCGGCCCACACCCAATTGTTGGGTACACCTATGGAGTTGCTGCAGCTTGGGCTAGTCTGTCCTGTCCCCAACCCTGTACCCATGAGTGTTGATGAGTTCCATGGTAATGGCTAGCTTGGTCCATCACCATTCCCAGCCCTTGAGTAAACTGGCTGGCATGGCAGTGCCACAGGGGTGAGCCCACAAATCTCTCACAGAATCTGCCCCCAGACCCAATTATCTTGTGAGCTGGTTACTGTCATGGCCCAGCCTGATGTGGTCCACCCCCTGTTCTGACACTCACTGGCAGGCACTGTGGTCACCCTGCGAGGCAGGGCCCCCAGCCATGGCTTTTGTGTACGTTGTTAAATGGTGGTTGATACCAAGAAACCCAGCAGGTCTCCCATGTGGGCAGGTGAATTGGTTTGGTTCTGAAATATCCTGCAGTTTCCCTCCACCCAACCACCTGGCCTCAGGCCCCTCCCTCATTTAGCTGCAAGTGCAGTAGCCTGGTGGGCAAAACTCCCCAGAAGTCACTCCTCACCTGTCAGACTCACCATCAGCAGTCTTCCCTCCCACACATCCCCACACCCCCCTTCCCTGCTCAGCCCACAACCCCCCATGCCCACGAGCATGCGGATCCCCAAGCCCAGTCTGCTGGCAGTGTCTCATGCCAACCCAGAACCCTGCCCAACTTGCGGGGGCCCACACATGCTGGGGCGCGGGTCCCCAGGCCCTGTCTGTTGGCATCCTGGTGTCTGCCCCCCATCTATCTTAAAAAAAAAAACAAGAGACAACTATGCTGGCACACTGGAATAGTTAACACAAATTTGTCATTAACTGGACCTAGAATGCCTGTCAGCTGTTAGCTGCTTTTCACCCATCAGTGTAACACTTGCCTAGGTACAATGCAACCTAGGCAGTTGCCTTCAACTGGGGCAGCCATTTGTTTAAAAAAAAAAAGGCTTCTGTGTTTGAAAGAGTTGCAGAGAAACACACACACACACACACACACACACGCACGCACACACACACTTATCTTCCATCTGCTAGCTTACTCTCCAAATGATGCATCTGCTAGGGCTGGGTTGAACCGAAACCAGGAGCCTAGGACTTCTTTCTGGTCTCCCACATGAACAGCAGGTGCTCAGACACTTGGGTCATGCTCCACTGCTTTCCCAGGCACAATAGCAGGGAGCCAGATCATCAGTGGAGCAGCCAGGATTCAATCCAATGCCAACGTGGGATGCTGGCACTCTAGGTGGCGACTCTACTTGGTAGACCACAGAGAGGATCTGCTTAAACCATTCATGGAACAGTCATTTGCTGAGAGGCGCTGAGAGAGAGAAAGAGAGAGATCTTGTCCATGGGCTCACTTCTGGCTGCTAGGCAGGGCCAGGCTGAAGCCAGAGTTTGGAACTCAAAGTCTCCCACGTGGAGGGTGGAGGCCCAAGTGTGGCGTCACTGTGTCTCCCTTAGCAGGAAGCCAGCTGGGAGTGGAACAGGGACCTAAATTCTGGTGTGGTCGTGGTATTTGGATACAGGGGCTTAAACTGCTGTGCCAAAACATTTGCCCCATTTTTCACTTTTTTTTTTTAAGATTGATTTTTAACTGGAAAGGCAGATTTACAGAGAGAAGGAGAGAGAAAGATCTTCCAGCTGCTGGTTCACTCCCCAAATGGCTGCAGCAGCCAGAGCTGAGCCGATCTGAAGCCGGGACACATACCAGCTCCCATGTGGAAACCCAGTGCTTGTGGTGGAGGATTAACTAATTGAGCCCTACACTGTTTTCTCTAAGAAACTGGAACTTTTTTTTTTTTTAAACCGTGGCCAGATCTGAGACCAATCCCCAGTAGACACAGAAAAACGCGTGTGCCAGGATGGAGCCCAGAGCAGAAGCCTTGGCCGAGGTAGGGCCTAGGTTGGGGAAGGCACTCCGGGACCTGGCCATTTCCCCTGCATGATACCCAGGAAAGCCAGAGACTGCAAAACTCCGGTGGGCTGCTCCTGCTTGATGCTTCTACGCTGAAAACAGAAGAAATCAGAGATTGGCACCATGGCTCAGGGAGGAAAGCTACTGCCCACAGGGCTGGCATCCCATATGGGCTCTGGTTCAGGTCCCAGCTGCTCCACTTTGGGTTAAGTTTCCTGCTAAGGCACCTGGAAAAAACAGCAGAGGATGGCCCAAGGGCTTGGACCCCATCCCCACTTGAGAGATCCGAAAGAAGCTCCTGGTCCATCCCCAGCCATTGTGGCCATCTGGGGAGTGAACCAGCTGATGGAAGAGCTCTCTCCCTGTCTCTATCTTATTCCTGTAACTTTGTTCCTAAATAAATTTCTATTTAAAAAGGGCCCGGCGCGATAGCCTAGTGGTTAAAGTCCTCACCTTGCATGCGCTGGGATCCCATATGGTCGCCGGCTCTAATCCCGGCGACACTGCTTC